GCTACATCATTGTCACTAAAGACAAAAAGAAGGTGACAGGGTCAAAACCAGTGTCTGATCAGCATCATATGATGTACTTTTTTGACCCACACAGGTTTGAGTCCTGGGAACAGGTGCTATGTAGAAATGGTCTAACTTGTTGCTGTTACTGGGAGGTGGAGTGGAAAGGATTTGTTTCCATTAGGATAACTTACAAAGGAATCAAATGGAAAGATGAGGATGTTGCCTGCTGGCAAGGAGGGAATGAGCAAGTCATGGATCCTGGACTGCTCTGAAGACAAGTACTGCATCTGGCACAATAACAAAGGAGGAGAGATATATAGATAAATTTATCTCTCCTCTGTGTCTCACAGAATGGGAGTGTATCTGGACTGGTCCACTGGCACTTTGTCTTTTTATGCAGTGTCTGGCACACGGAAACACCTCTACACTTTCCACTGCACATTCACTCAACCTGTCTACCCTGCATTTAGGTTCTACTTTACACTTGAGGTGTTTCGGTGCTCAGCATCTTTATGTGAGCTGTAGGAGAGTGAGTTCATTCTGTCTATGGCAACTGCTGACAAGATTTTTCAGTATGTAAATAACATCCGCACATATAAATTATTGTTTGCACACAAATACGCTGAAAGTAACATGGGTATCATTTCCATAGATTCAGCCATTCTTATGTTTACATTGTACAAAACAAAGTTGTGTGCACTCAGTTTTCCCGTGCAGAGAGATGGACATGGACACACATGGAAATTTCAGGTGTATTCACTTTCAGTGTGACCTCCAATTAAATGGGTTAGGTTATGGGGCACCTTGGTGACTCACCTGGTAGAGTGCATACCATTAGGACTCCCATTAGACTTTCCTGTCTCTCTCTCACTGCTACTTTATTAAAGGCATAGAAACGTCTCCCCCACCCCCCAAAAAAGAAAAAAGGTTATGTTATCTTAGTTTGTTTCCAACTGGTCTCATAGTCTGAGTCGAGTCCGTCAGACTTGATTTTACCTATTCCAGGTGTGAAAGTATTTTGCTTGAAGACCGTGAAAACATCCTTACAAAACATCCTAGTTATAATACATCTTTGCATTATTGTTTTTACAATATATGAACATGAGATAGCAGTATGTGCTATGTGAGTATTATTTTATGTTAACTTTGTTTTTGTCCATGCTAGGAATTCATTCTATAAAATATGGATAAATGTGATTTTTCTATTATGAGTTTATAACATTTGTAATGTTTTTGTATTGGTTTCATATTATTACAAGTTATAATTATCATAATCCTGTATGTTCAGGTATTTTGTGGTATGTGTTAGTGGTTTCTTTCTAGCATGGAACATTCCATAGGTCAGATACAGTATCTGTGAGGCTGAGTGCTTCCATGTACTAGATATAAATCTTTAAAGGGTTCCTAAAGGACAGGGGTTACTTTAGGAGTTCCACCGTTGTTTGGCGGGGATCTCCACTGACACTCTGCATGTGTAAGTGAATATTCCACTATATTGTACAATATATTTTTATTCTCATCTATTAGTGTTTTTCTGTGTTTATTATTGGTGATATTCATGCAATGTCCACAACACTAGTCCTGTCTCCGAGCCCTCCAGGCAGTTCCTTCCTCAACATGGTTTTTGCTCTGATATTCACTGTCAGCTGTGAGACCTTACATAGACAGATGTGTGCCATTCCAAATCATCATTTACCACAGGTCGACTAGAGGTGTAGAAACATCTCAAAGATGATCAAGAGAAATGGAGGAACCTGAGCTAAATTTCAAGTGTCATAGCAAAGTGTCTGAATACTTATATCAATATGATATTTCAGTATTTCCTTTTTAATAAATTTTCTAAAATTATTTTTTTTCTTTGTCATTATGGAGTATTGAGTATAGATTGATGAGGGAGTTTTTTTTTTTTTTTTTAAATGAAGTGGTCTGAAAACTTTCTGAATTTACTGTATGTACTGTGAGCACCAGAGGGCAGTGTACACTCATTATTTTAAACACTCTTGGCAATCACCTGTAGACCACACTAGTGTAAACATTCTTACACAGTAAGGTGTGTATGTCAAAAAACCAGTGCTCATTTTTTCTGTAGCCCGACCACTTTTGGTTCAGCTGATTGCATAAGAGAATTCATAATTATGTTTCTAAATTGTCCTCCAATGCTCAAACATAACTGCATACTGGTAAAGAGTAAAGTTCCTCCAAAAAAGGACAGAGGCATGCTGGCAGTTTTTTTAAGCTTCCAGTTTTATTTTAAATCATCATCAGGAGGCAGAGGTGACAATGACCAATGGCTTATTAATACCAGGTGTTTCATGATTGCTCAGATACATCATCCATCCACCACAACCTCCTCCTGACATGGACTTTGTCTCTCTTTATACTATGTCACCACACTTTTCCCTTTGCTCCTGTCATAATTACTACGACCACTAGATGTCGCCTAGCAACAAACCGTAACTATGGGTCATAATAACCTGCTACACAGACGACCTATGGGCTTGTTTTTTACACGAGGACAGTCTCAAAGGTGAAGAGCAGTATCTGCGCTTGAATCTGTTAAATGTGTCTCTGGCTTCAAAGACATACTCACACTGAGAAGCTTCTTGTGCCATGGATTTGGATACATGAGATAAAGGCAATTGTGACCCTCTCTAAGGCCTCTCACTGCAGGAGCCTGATGGGTGGAGTCCGGTCATGTCACCAGGTTAGCTGGTGCTAAACTGGTGGCAGTCAGCCAGTCTTTCTCTCTCCACTAGCTTCCACTAAGTTTGGTTTTGTTTGTCTTCAGATTAATTTCCTTTTCGGTTATCTGCAATAAACTTATTTTTAGTTATAACTCATGCGTGGTCTTCCTTCGACAAATTGCAACAGCAGCAGTCACTAATAACTAAAAATAGTAATTTGTTTAGTAGATGACAGAGTATGGAATAAAAGGTCTCTTGAAGATGTTGCTGTGGGTGTTCTGTGTCATCTTCCTGAAGGCTTCCTTATCATCCTGCAAAAGGCCAGTTGCAGTAATGTACCATAATACTTGTCTATTATAGGGAGCTCTAAATGAATTAAGCATCTATCTATCTATCTATTCACTATCTATCTATCTATCTCCTCTTCCGTCCTCTTCAATTTCCTCATGTAGATGTCTGTATTTTTATAGGAGATTTGGTTTTGCCATTGTTAAGGCATCAGGTAGAATATCTGACTAAAAAGTTACCAACTACCCACCCGATTACATAAAAAATTATGTGCTACCCTCAATGAATACTCAATTACTGCAGCTTATAACTGTATGACCATATAATTATGCTGGAAAACAAAAGCAAAGTGCAGCATGAGCCATAAAGCTGCAAAGGTCAGCCTGAAGGCCAACCTACAATACACTTAGTAATTAAATGGAATTTGATGCTCACATTTCAAGCTTTTCCCATTTTGGCATATTTGTAGATGCTGTGCTTTGGCTTTGGCACTGCAGCAGTTACGACTGACAGGCATACGAAAGCAAACACACACTCACACACAACACACACACACACACACACACACACACACACACACACACATACACAAAAAGCCCTATCCCCTTACTAACCTCTTCACCACTAATTATAACTGACTCTTGGGTACGTTGTGGCCTCACACTGAAGTCTCGAAATTCATTTCACTGTTGACTATTGTCCTACAATGCAATTCACAATGAAAATGGAGGAGCGCGTCACATCAGGAATAAAAAAAAATTAGTTTGTGGCTTTAATTAGCTCCAAAAGACATCGTTTGCATGATGTCTCATGAGAACAAACTGGTCATGTATACTGCACCAACTGCAGAAACAACCTATAACATTAATAGTTTATATTGTATGATATATGATGTAAAAGTTTAGCATTTCCAGCCATATCTCTATATCCGTCATTAATGCCAGTTCAGCAGAGATAACTCACTGAGAACTGCAGAGTCATATTGTAAAGGCAAAGAGAAAAACATGGAGTGGATTCCAGTAAAAGTTGCTACCTTGACAAGCTTTGTGCCCAGGATCTGAAGTTACCTTCAACCACTGTCAGTCCAGCTGATCACTGACTGTACAGAGACAATTGTGTACATGTATTAAAGGTTTTGGAATTGGGCAAAAATAATTTAAAAGCTACAATTTATTTAAGAATAAAACAGTGTTTCTATTATACATACATAATAATGAAAGAGTTCCTGTTTATTTTCAAGCTGTAGTGTAAGTCAGATAGATGAGTGGTGTGAAGAAGTGACTGCTTGTGTCACCAGGACACACAGACTATCTTTACATCTGGTACTTTTACTTACAGTTATGTTTATGCTCTTACACTGACTGGACATTTACTTTATTGCACACCAGATTTGATTCTCAAAATGAAATCATACTGGTAGTAAAATAAAAGTACTAGTTAATAAAATAACATTCATTTGAGCGAAATAAAGTGTCAGAGCAGGTAACACAGTCAAAGCTCACCTGATAAGTCGTCACAGCTGTGCTTTTCTGTCTTTAGAAAAGCAGTAAAGTCAGTTGCTGAGACTCAGAAAATCAGCCAATCAGAAGAGAGGCTCACCAACTTGTTGATACAAGAGCTATGTAAAACTACATTGAGATGCCTTTGGTTCTTAAAACCACAAATATATCTTATTGATATCAAAACTGGTATATGTTGGTGCCTGCATAATATATTATACCAATAGGTGGCGATGTTAGCCTTCACTAGATAAATTGACTGAATTTGACTGAAGTAAAGACTACGCCTCTGATATCCTCTGAATAAAGACCTAATAAATAAATATTGCAATACACAGACTCAGTTTATTTTTGGAAAGTGCTGTCGTCTCGTTTATGCCTCAGTGTCATTGTTGTCCTGTCGCTAGTAACATGAATTGAATTAAATGAGAGATAGAGAGAGAGACAGAGACACAGCGAGAGAGAGAGAGAGAGAGAGAGAGAGAGAGAGAGAGAGAGAGAGAGAGAGATGTAGAGGAAGCGGGAGGGGGAGCCGAGCATTGCTGTTGTCGCTGCTGTGGATCTGGTCGCTGTGATCAGAGGGGAGAGGATCATCACCGAACAACCAGCGGCTTGTTTTCAGGTAAAAACATTTTCCTCACACCTGATCATTCTTCATGATCAGTGATTATAATATGTATCTGGTATGTCTCGTGCTATGTCTCTGTGAAGATGGAGATGCTGAGGCGGAGAAATGGAGAAAGGGGCGCTGTTCAAAACAAAACCTCTGAAATAAAGCTGCCCTTCATCCGTCACATTCACTGACAGTCAACCTTTACAACGAGTCTGTTCTGTCTGTCGGGATGGGTTCAGGTTCAGTCCTTCATGTCGTGTTTCGTGTGCGTGTTTTCATTGTGTCAGCGGGGCGTTTTTCTGGTGCTGCTCCTTTACTACGCACATTGGCACAAACCACAAACCGAGCCTGTCGCCGAGTGAATCTCGTCTTTTTTATTGTTTTCGATCATGATCGTTGCTGCAGGGTTTGTGCTGAGTCTGTGCACGACATGCTGCCTGCTTGAATTTCCATTTAGTGCGATATTTTGTGTTTCCGATGTGGTTTGTTGTAAAATGGAGGCTGGATGGAGGAGGAGGAGGAGGATGCTGCCATGGCCTCCTCCGCCTCTCACAACCTGCTGGCACATCACATGCTTTTCCTACATCCGTCACATAAACCTGAATCTAGAGATACAACCACCAGGCGGCCAGACTGTGTTCTGTACAACTGTTGTTGTGTTCGGGTTTTAAAACGAGCTTATGGTCATCACGGTGGTTTTCATCTCGGCCAGTATTCCCACAGGGGCTCAGTGCATGATACACACTCCTCCACTCTGTAACGAGACTGTTGTTCTGATTCAATACAAGGTCATAATAAACACACAGGCCTATTTATAACAGTATTCAATTATTATTATTAAATTATCCAATGTTAATAACTATACAGGCTTCTCTGTTACCAATGGGATTCTTAAGTGATTCTCCTCAATAACATATTTTATAGATGATAAAATCTATCTATCTATCTATCTATCTATCTATCTATCTATCTATCTATCTATCTATCTATCTATCTATCTATCTATCTATCAGGGCTGCATGATATGCAAAAAAAAAATCGTATTATTATTTTGGGAGCTATTGCGATTTCAGTTAGGGTCATTTCATTTTCACTTCATTTTCATTTCATTTTTTGATGATGTGATATTTTTTGGGTCTTGTACCAAAAAACCATGTTCCTCTACATGCGGAGAACAAGATTTATAGGCTGGGTTGTCTCTGTACCACAATGCTTATGGAAAAGTGACAGCTCCTGCAATTTTTTTGCAGCGCATGCAATTTGGATATTGCATTTGGCCATATTGCATATTTCAATTAGCTATATTTTGATTAATTGTGCAGCACTATCCATCTATCTATCTATCTATCAGGTCTTTAAAGAGACATTTAAAAAAATCTGGACAACATCATCTCTCACGTTCCTTAGACGTCAGATCAGACAGGCCCACAGTGAACAAAGTTCAGCCAAGTAAAAGTCAAAGATCCTGGTGAATCCATTAGAATAATGTGAATCTGATACGTTTGATCTGAGGACTGAGGACCACAACAAGATGTCCTTGGTCTGAGTCCAGCCGTTTCATATTTGTGGGTTTCCATGCTGACTCACAATTGTGTTGCGTAACCTTTATTGTGGCCTCAGCTGAGTCCTGTTTTTAGCCTGGTTCAGACACTGATCACCGTTCTGTTCAGGCAGGAATCAGCCAGCTGGGACCACAGATTACATAAAGCACACTACAGACACAGAGACAGATAATTACTTTAAACAGACAAACTGTTTGTGAATGTTCTCATTCGTCCAGGTCATAGTAATCTCTCTCTTAAATTAAATCGAAGGCAACTGGACTTGTATTTGTCTGTGGAAGACGTTTCGCCTCTTATCCAAGCGGCTTCATCAGTTCATCATGTATTGGTCTCTCTAGTCCGCACTAGTCTGACGACTAGTCCAGTTGCCTTCGATTTAATTTAAGAGAGAGATAAACAGACAAATCAAATCAGTAGGAAGTTTTCAGCTGAGTGTTTATCCTACAGGAAGAGGACACGTGTGCTATCATGTGATTGCTACGCTGTTGTTACGTGATTCACACACAAGTTAACTTTTTGTGTTACCACAAAATAGTTGCTCTGAGATCAGGATAAAACATTTGAGTCGACACAGACTTCAGCTGCTGGATAAAATAGGAAAAGTTCAATTTTCTGAGAATAAAGTGAAAAATAAATCTGTAGGCTGCAGTTGTAATTCATTTTTAGTCAGATTTGATCTTGATTGACTGTTTACTTTAAATTCTTTGAATCCTCTCTGTAGGATGTCTGATGCAACTAATAGCAACGGTTAGCCTAGCATGTAGCTGCTGCTGCAGACAGTCAATAGCTGACTCAGATTTTTAAAAAGTCCCAAAACAACACAGCTGATGTTTGTGTGGATTAAAACGCACAGCTCAGGCTATAGAGACATCTCAATGGCCTCCTTTGACAGTGTGTGTGTGTGTGTGTGTGCGTGCGTGCGTGCGTGCATGTGTGTGTGTTATGTAGATTCTGTTTTATGTCTGTGCATATGAAGTGTGTTATTTGAGTGTTAGGGCCACATTGAGGAAAAAAAAGAAATTTGAAATTTTGGGAATAAAAGTCATAATATTAAGAATTAATAATATCAAATTTTGAGAGAAAAAAACATTTTTTAGGAATATTATATCGACCAATCAAACAGGATCAAACAGGTGACACGACAGACAGTGCAGCCTGAGCTGCTTCTGGCAGCCGCTGTTTGTCTTTCTAAGAATAGGCTCTTTTCAATGTCCTGTTGATGATGCTGATGATGATGATGATGTTGCTGCTGTTGCTGCTGCTGCTGCTGCTGCTGCTGCTGCTGATGATGATGATGATGATGATGATGATGATGATGATGATGATGATGATGATGAGCCAAACGATGAAGTTCCTCCTTATTAGTGAAACCTCTGCTAAAGTAGAACTTCACAGGATGCTCCATGTTCCTCATTTTAAGGCTTCTTATATTTCCCCTCTAAAACAACATGCAACTGAAAATTACATCTTTATTGTCATAATATTATAATTTTTTTCTCATAATGTTACGACTTTATTCTCAGAATTACAGCTTTATTCTTGAATTTTCAAATTATTTTCCCTCAATGTGGCCCTAATACTCCGTCATACTAATATAAATAAACTTCAAAAAAAGACATTAGCCTGGTTCCAGACCCCGGTATCCCTGCCCTCATCTCTAATTTGTTTAGTGGTTCAGATATTTCTAGTGCTGTGGTCCTGATTGGCTGCTTCCCTGGTTGGAAAAACAACCAAGCTGAATAAAGCTTGTCTAGATTGGATTAAGAATGGGGATGTCTTCTGACACTGTATTTATCTACAGTGCAGTCTGAATGATCACTTCAGGATCAGATCGAGAGTTTTCTTGAATTCATCAGCTGTTACATGACATCAAATATTTTCTTCCCTCTTAGAGGAGGGGGAGAAGATGTATGGATCAGTGGTGGAGGGAGTGGCTGCTGGATGGATTTCAGCATCTTGTCCATTTGCTTAAGTGGAGAGTAGATTTAATCCAGTCAGACCTGTCAACAGCTAATGACGGACAGGGGGTGTTGGCATTAGTCTTTTTAGCTACTGCCAATATCAGTATGATGCAGCAGGTCAATTAGCTCCCTTTCTCCTCGTTTTCTCTTATACACAGACACACACAGACACACACAGACACACACAGACACACAGACACACACACACACACACACACACACACACACACACAACAATGTTGTTACCGACATTTTCATCCATTTAATTAGTTATTTGGAGATTAAATGAATTTATGATGAGTTAGAGCTGCTGTAAGTCCTAGTCATGTCTCTGGTCCAGCTGTGAAACAATTTCCTCTTCTAAAATGTTAATTGCAGGCTCAGGCCAAAGGGCCAAGGGGTCAGGGGGCCCCTAAACCAAAGTGACTGTTAATTACATTTCTCTTTTCAAACAGCTCAGTCTGAAGTAGAGGATCCTGATCTCTCTGTTTTACTACCTATTCTTTAATATTGATCATCATCATACCATCTGATTTCTTTTATCGGCCTATATTTTTCCTACATAATCCAGTTGCACAGTACATTTTTAATCCACAGTTAGTCTAGATTAAAACCAGTAAAGCAATTTAAATATGTTTTTCAGCAACCTGCACCACAGGTGATGTTGACGGCCCTCATCTGACTCCATAACGATACGGAGGCCAAATAGTACATTCTCAGAGTACTTTTTATTTTAATGATAATGATTGAACATTCATGTTCATGAATGAACTGAAAGAAGGGGGAGATCATTTTTAATTTTTTATATAATTACATCTTTTAACCAAAATTGTAATGATTTGCAAATGATTTGCTGGTCTATTTGCAGTATCTTCGCGGCCCACCAGTGGTTGGAACCACTGATTTAGACACTCTTTCTTCTGAACAAAATACTGAAAATTAGGTACAAGTCTCTACTGACAATAGAATTTTTAGTTATAATTAAAGTTTTTCTAGGTTCTTGTAAGGTCGAGTCTATTCTCAGGAATTATAATTAAATCTTTTGTGGCCTGTGTTTGTAACGATTCCTGGATTTTACTGACTGGATTGTTTTTTTTTCTCTCAAGCCTCAAGATGAGTCAAGTCTAGGGTTGTCACGATACCAAATTTCTGTTTCGATACCGATACCAATATGTATTTCGATACTTTTCGATACTTTTTGTAAAAAATATTTCATTATATTATGTATTGCCTTGATGGGTTATTTAAATATTTAAAGAATGTAATTTAATTTTTAAAAATATATTTTTTAATGTATTTATTAACCATGGACATGTTTTAGCTCTCTGTATGCAGGCTACTGTAGGTTTACTACTGGGCTGGGAGGGGCTTTGTACTTCTTTCACTGACATTACAGTGCAGTGAACTGGTGAACAACATTATCACCTGTCGTTCTTGACTGAAGTCTCAGAACAAGTCCGCATGGTTGTCCTTTAAATGTTTCGACAGGTTCGAAGTGTTGCCTGCTTTTGCGAGACACACTTTGTAGCACCGCTTGCACTGTGGTGCCTCTGGGTTCAGTGGCTCGCCTTTATCGTTCGGTTTGAACCCGAAATATTTCCACACCGTACTTCGGGCTCCAATTTACCAATTCATTTGCATTCAATAAAATGAAATAAAAGTACCGTTTGTTTTTAAATGCTGGTATAGTACCGTTTTCAAAACTCTAGTATCACGGTACTATACTGGTACTGGTATACCGTGCAACCCTAGTCAAGTCTTAAAAGAGTTTATTCTTAAATCAATCAGGCCTCAAGTCTCACATCCAAGTCAGTTTGGTCTATCTAATGGAGAAGAATGACCCTGTATATATCGTAAACCATAAGGGTTTGAGTCATCAAAATAGGCTTGAACAGGCCCAAATAAACATAATCCCTGTTTATAAATGTGATTAATTAGAGAAAAATGCATTGCTGTTTAATTAAAGAAAAATGATGTGACATCACTCACCGTGTCCCGCCTCCTCTCTCACAGGCCCAGCTGCAGCAACATGACCAAGGAGGAGAACCTGGAGGTGCAGGAGAAGGAGAGGCACGATCGGGAGGAGCAGGAGGAGGGGAGGGTTCAGAGAGAGGAGGAGGAGGCTCTAACCGAAGAGGAGGAGGAGGAAGAAGAAGAGGAGGACGAAGACGAGGAAGAGGAATATGAGCTACAGGAGGAGAGGGAGGGAGAAGAGAGGGCAGAGGTGGACGATGAGGACGACGACGAGCAGGAGGAGGAGCGGGAGGAAAGAGAGGAGAGGGAGGGAGAGGAGGATCCACCGGCCGGTCGGGAGCCTGAGGCTGAGCCAGTGCCCGAGCCCCTGTCAGTGTCCGAGTACCAGAGCCCGGTCAACGAGCCACGCCGCAGAGCCATGGTTCACCCGTCTGCCCAGGCACCGCTGCCCAAAGACTATGGTACGCCATACCACCTTAAACACACAGTCATACCACCTTCAATAAACTCTGTTACACCACCTTAAATACACACTGTCTTACCACCTTAAATACACACAGTCATACCACCTTAAATACACTCTGTTACACCATCTTAAACACACACAGTCATACCACATTAAATGCACACAGTCATACGACCTTAAATACACTCTGTTACACCATCTTAAACACACACAGTCATACCACCTTAAACTCACTACACACGACCATACATTTTCAGGTTGCTGAAAGTAACGCACAACATGTCTTCTTTAAATTATATTAAACGATTAGAATTTATTTGCTGTTAATTAGTGATTAGTAATGATTAGTGAAAAGTGGGATCTGATGTCTGATCAGAAGCTGGTGGGATAATTAATCAAACTAATGAAGTTCAGTTATAATATTTTGTGTTTTTTTTAAATGTCAGTAGAGAGAATTGTCCAGAGTTTCTCAATGGTAATACATAGAGTGGATAAACATACAGATAAACAGATTGGGGCCACTCCAGAGTCCTGCCCCATAAAACAACATCCAAACACAAGCACAGTAAATAAACCTCAGCAGAGGCTCCATGACGCTGCCAAAGTTCCACACAGCTACAGAAACACACGTAAACACACACAGATCATGCACACAGTGGTGAAGGTAAGGAACTTGTTGGAGTCATAGACCAAAGTGGTTCATCACAGTGGATCATCAGTGCTCACAGTCTGTATCTCTGACTGCAGATTGACAAAAGCTGCAGACTGTATGGACGACAGGCTCATTGGTATTCATCAGACAAACTCAGAGCTGGCCAACTCCATTATACACTCTGCATGTGTGTGTGTGTGTGTGTGTGTGTGTGTGTGTGTGTGTGTGTGTGTGTGTGTGCGTGCGTGCGTTTTCCCGGCAGTGAATACAGACTGGTCCTGCTCACCAGTCTTGACAGAGGATCTTTTTTGTCCTGTCTAAATGTCTAAACAGTGAGCTTTGAACTTTTAACAGCCGTTATCTACGAGCCGTCGGTCTCATTTACAGTTACATTTATTCATTTGACAGATGCTTTTGTCCAGAGGGTTATGCACATGAGGTAGAGTCTAACTTACAACAGAGCAACGAGACGCCATCAAGAACAAGTGAAAATGAACTTGAAAATGATGCGTGGAAACCATAGACTGTAGATAAAGATGGACAAAGCCTCTGTGACATCATGCAAAGGTTTCTGAAGAGCGGTTTTGAAGCTCAGAGTGAGCTGCTCCACCGTCACCATCTTGGCAGTGCCTGACTCCGCCCCGACCTCTCAGAAAATCCACAAACAGGCAGGCACATGGAGCAGACTTTGGTGCATGATGGCTTAATAACTGTATTGCTTGAAGGCTAACACGAGGGTAATTCCTTTGCTTGCTAATTAGCAAGTTAATTACCTAAGCTAACAAGATGATATGGTGAGTGCAAAGACCAATACCTGTTTATTAGTGCTAAAAATAAAATAATAATAGGAAAAGAATTTCACTCACCTAAAAAAAAAACAGGAGCACAGAGTTCACAACAACTCATATTATCTGTCTGATATTTGTATTAAAAGAGAGGAGTAAGGTGACGCCAAGCAGACAGCTAATGGCTAGTCCACGGCATCCACCTGTCACTCAAAGTGGCCACAGCCTGAATTATAGAGAACTTTAAGCCTTAATAAAATGTAAAGAGGTGAGTTGTAAAAACAGCTGTCTTGAAGGAGGAAATTATCTATAGAGACCAAAAATGTTTTTGTACCTGGCTATAAACATGTTTATTTCTGCAGTTGGACATTTTAACACGGGAGTCTATGGGGATTGACTCACTGTTGGAGCCAGACTCTAGTGGTCATTAGAGGAAGTGCAGTTTTCTATTCTTAGCTTAATTTTTCAGTTGGAGCCTGGCGGAAATGCACTGCTTGACCCAGTGGCGATGGGAGTCAAGGCAAGAAAGCCAGTTAATTCTACTCTGAATATGTGAACAGGAGTCTACAGACTGCTGTGCTTTGTGTAGAGAGGAGCTAGTTGAGGTTGTTCAGGGTTTGATCAGGACATTAGCAGTCCTCTGGGTAGGTCCCACTGGGAAGAGACCTTCAGGCAGACTCAGAACATTTTTGAGGGATGAAATATTCCATCTGGCCTGGGAACAATTCAGGATCCTGGTAGATGTATCTAGAGAGAAGGTTGTACAGGTTAATGTACCTTGCTTAATTGGCTGCTACTGTGACCCACACCTGGGAATGTTGTACTAAAAGGATAGATGGATCTCCAGTATTTATCACAAAATATCTTTGCTTCTTAACTGGTAAAAACCCAGACAGCAAAAGATAAGCAGAAAATGTTTTCACCTTCCAGATGTTGTTGTAGGAGACCTCTGATGCTGAAATTTATGGGTTTTTATTTTTTTTTACATTTTAGTAAGTTTTTAGGGAAATGTTGTAATATTGCAATGCTGGGACTAAGGAGGAGTAGAATTCCTGTATTTGTGCTCACATTGTCTGAACAAATATACAGAACAACTCAGGCTTTATTTGCAGGGTTGACTTCTTATTTCGCCCCATTGTAGTATATATTGTGAATAATAATAACACAATAGTCATATTTTTATGAGTAGTCAACTATTAATTAAAAAAAAGCATAGGATAGAATTTACATTACAAATCTACATGTTCTATTTACAAAGCTAAATGATGTCATAGTACACAGATGACCTTGTTGTGTAGTAGGAGCTTCGAGCAATGAACAAACAATAAATGATAATAATGTAAAAAAATTAACATTTTACTTGACAGTATGCTGCAGTTTTACATGAGCAAGCCGCCCCACCAAGCAGCTCGCTCAGCAATAAACTTCCAGGTGATCCCTCTGTCTCTGAAGAATCTTGTTAGCTCTGATGCTCTGATTGACTGTCATAGTTCTTTCAGGTCTTGGTCTGCTCTTTTCAATGTCTTGGCATTGTCCAAGTAAATTACTCTACACAGTCCTCAACTTGCAATAAATCTCTGAGACTAACTCTAAATGTACTCCCCTAGTGACGGCACAAGTGAAGAGTGCAATGTATGCCTTCTTATGCTGACCACTTACCTTGACATACAATGGCCCTGCAAAATTTACTCCAGTGACATCAAAGGGTGGGGACTCTGTAACCCTGTCTCTCAGTAAAGGAGCTGTAACTCGCTGTGCTGGTTTCACTTTCAGTTTCCTAAAAATGTAACAAGATGACATCATCCGCTTAACTAGTTGTCTCCCCCTTAAAACCCAATATCTGTCCCTCACCTGCACTAGAGCATCTCTGACTCCAGAGTGCATTATTCTCTTATGATAGTACTGAACTAGCAGTTCAGCCTATCTGTGATTTGTACCACCCAAGGGTGTTGCTCCCTGACACTAAAATCAGAGTGCTGCAGCCTGCTTCCTACACTGATGAGTCCATTTTCATCTAAAAATGGTTTCAAATCTTTGATTTTTGAATCTGTCTTGATGTCTTGTCCAAATTTCAGCTGACTAATTTCTTGGCTGAAACTATGCTCTTGAATCACCTTCAACCATTACATCTCTGCTGCAGTGAATCTTTTGACTAGAATGTGTATTACCTATGAACCTATTCACCCATCATCACTGTTTTTAACCTGCTATATTTCGGTACGTTTAACAGTGGCTCTGCTTGTTCAATGCTAGTGAGCTGTACTACAGCTTGAAACCTAGTCCTAAGCTCTGTGTTTACCTCATCTGCAACATATTCCTGATCTATGCGCTTTGCTTCAACAGCTGATGGCAGTGAAGTAGGTCCACTCCACCACAGCTGGCTTTTAATAGGATTCTCAACACCCTGGCCTCTGGTGGGTAAATCTGCAGGATTGTTTTTGCCACTGCAGTGAAACCACATCGACTTTGTATTTCAGTCACTCTGTTTGTCACAAATGGCTTCCACCTTTGTGCTGCTGTGCTTGTGAATCTGTCCACATGATCCACTGATTTCTTCCCACGTTCAGAGGCTTGAGAGGATTGTTCCCTAGCCTTGCTCCAATTAGTGCGCCCATGAGTTCCAAGCAAGGTGGCGTCATTTTCTTTAATGGGGCTACCTTTTTACAGTCTCTCCATCCATGTTCTGTCCTTTCAGATAAGCAACAGCACTGTATGCCTTTTCACTAGCATCACAGCAGATGTGCAGTTTGATTGTCTGTGATTTTGGCTGGATCACGATTTGGTACCATCTCGGAATGGCCATCAGGTGGAGCTGTGGCAGCTCTGCACACCACTGATCCCATCTTTGATCCAGGATATTTGTCCTTTTCTGCTAGAGCTATCTGCAAGAAGCCTTGGTAATATCTGTGGCGAAGGCTATCTGGTGGAGTCTGAATCTGATTAGCACCTCTAACAGATTTGGATTAAGGTTGGGCCCTGTCAGTAAACAGTCAGTCATTTAGTGATGGGCAACCCTCCTCATGTGAGGATGCATCAAACACCACTCTCAGTTTGGTTGTTGCTTTATCTTCTCGGATGACAGCATGATGTGGTATGTAGTATTTCACAGCCTCAGGTTGCTCTGCCCCTGAAGTGTCCTCTGGTACATCCTCGCAGATGCCTTGCTGTAGGTAATCCTGTATGAAGTCATTGTAACTCATGCACAAAGTTTCATCCATTTTTTGTCTCCTCATGAGTCCTTCAAACCGCCCCTTAGTGACCCTGAAGTTGTTTGGGAGCTCAGGTCTGTCAGGTTGCTATGGTAACTCAACTTGGTAGCAGCCATTCGTGTGTGTCATAGTCTGTTCAAAGCTCTGAAGAGCCTCTATTTCCTCTGGGCTCTGGGTTTTCTCATTAATGATACCCAGTGACTTCACCTCCCAAAAGGCGTGTAGTTGTTTAGAGATCTGGGTGTCCTCATCTAGACTGATGTGCATACAAGTGATGTCGGTTATGCTGGATGTTGTGTCTGGCCCTTGCAAAGCCCATCCGAAGCTGCTCTGTATGGCTACGAGTGATTCCTTTATTCTCTGGACCTTGCCAGTCAGCACTTGCCAGTAAAAGTCTGCTCCTATTAACACTGACAGTTCGGTGCTGGGCCCTCTGCCTGTGCCTTGACAGTCTGAAGCAGAACTGTGTTCTGGACGTTAATTTTCAGTTTCACTGTGCTGGACACAGAAGACGCCACAGCATCTGTACTACCTAGGTCAGTATCTGGCTTAGCTTCACTTTGATCACAGACTGACTGTTTTGGGCCTAGGCAAACAATTCACAACAGACCTCTTGGCTTGAGGACTCCCATCACTTGAGGATGGTCTCTTCTGAGCATTCACAGGGCTCCTTGATGAATTTTGTGTCTAAGTGTTGAGCCATGTTAACTGCAGTGATAATCCAAACAGTTATTTTCCTTTGTGAAGCAAAGACATACGTTACACTTGCTGCACAGCGTGTTCGTGTATCCTTTTTCGCAGTATCGGCAGCGTCCTCTCTTCGTCTTCACTGGGAATTGTGCAATCATGTCTTTACATACAGTACATCCAGTACAGATGACCACTTGGCTGGTGGACTCCTATCGTTTGAGAATGGTCTCTTCTGAGCATCCAAAGGGCTCTGAATTGTATTAGAACAGAATCAATTAAGATACAAACCAAAAATATTACAAACAGTGAAATAATGAAAATATTACAAACACTACATTGTGGAAATGCATTCTTACCTGGATGAGAGAGGATGCTAGTTGTGCCTGAAACTGTCTCCTGTTCAGTGTCTCTCTCTTCGACATCTTTAGAGCTTTATAGTCCCTTTTGAGCCAGGCATTGATCACAGCGAGGATAGTGGCCAGAAGACGTAGATTTCATTGGAAACTTGTATTTCACTGCAAATGAATCCAACAAATCCACACCTTCCATGTACTTGTTGTAGCCACCAACAATGTAAGGCCTCTCAACTTCAATGTTGGTTTTGGTGGCTTTGTCCCAGCGTTGAATCTTCTGCAGTGTCTGGACCAGCAAAGGATGCCACAAGGGTCACTGCTCTGTTGTCGTACCATTTGACAGCACAGATGTTGTGGTTCCCCTCCACTCTGACATCAAAGCTTCCTCTCCCCTTTTTCTTCAAGCTCTTCTCATCCTCAAGGTTACAGTTGGGTAGACATACCTGCCTGGCTGTTCCCTGATCACAGAGCTTAACTACCAGTGGGACACAGGTGAAGTAGTTGTCTGCGTAGATCTTGAAGTTCTGACCTTCTGGAAGCGTGGAGGCAAGCTTCATCACAACATCATCTGACAATCCAAATTCGGTGTTGGCTTGTATTCCGTTGACCCTGCCTTGGTACACATCTAAATCACGAGCATGCCAGAGATTCCAGTTCTTACCCATAATTTGAACCCCCATCTGTGTGGCCTGCCACACATGTATTGCTTGATGTTGCTGAATCTCCCTTTGAAAGGAATCATCATCCACAGAGTTATGCTTTTTGGATACCACCTTCAGGCACTTCTCCCTGAATGAATCAAGAGTTTCCAGAGTTTGTCTTCTTTCTTTGTCTCTGACACTGTCAGGTTATTAACAAAATGTAATGATGTCAACAGAGATTGGAATCTGCTGCGTCGCATCACATCAGAGACAGGGGTGTACCATGTGTCTGTCTCCCAATACATACGGCATTTGCATTAGGCCCATCTTCAGGTACGTGCCAAGCATTTTCTCAATTTCATTTTCACATGTGTTAAAAGATGTTCCATTCTTTTGAAAGCTGTACTCATTTGTGTTTTTTGTCAAGGCCTGAAGCATGTCTTCTGACACAAACTTCTGGAAGTACTCCAGTGGTGTGTGGAGGAAAATGCCATCACTGGTGATATCTGAACCAGAAAAATCAGTATGGGGACTGATAAAATCCTTTTTCAGCAAACGATACCCGTCACAAGGCATGGTTTGTTTTCCTGGTTGGGGCTGGATGTCCACGTAATCATCGGCTGTGCAATCAGTGGCTTGGTTGTTTTCTTTGTCCACTTCACTGGCATCTTCATCTGCCTCTGAGTCACTTGAATCAGTGTTGTCTGATTCCATCTCAAAATCACTTGCTCCATCTTGGACGGCAGCGATCACATCCTTCACAGTGTATAGATGATCTCTGCAAGCTGGTGGCATTCTGAAATGGAAAAAGCAAAAAATAATAAGATACATATACAAGATATGAGTATTATTTGTGGTAGATAACCTGAAAGAGTAAATAGAGTGGTGGAAGTGTTCAGAGTGGAGATCCAAGTCCTAATCCTAATCCTTTCCACAGTCACACAATACTGTCTGTCTGGCCTATTATGCCCTCTATTATCATACTGAAAGGAATACATGTATCCACCCCCCAGAACACATGCCAGTTGCATTGTTCAGTAACAGGTGAGGTCTTCAATGGCATGAACAAAGCAACAAGCATCCCCCAACCCATCCCAGAACATTCAGAGCCTGTTTCCAGTCTCCTAATGCAACAAGCAGCTATTGGGCAAACACACAAAGCTCAAAAAAAGCCCAGGATAGGTTCAAAGTTTTATTTAAACTGATAAGATACAGATAGAGTTTCAAATACCAAAAACAATGAATTAATTCAATTCAATTCTGGTCTAAACTAGAAAATTTTAAGAGAGAAAACACATAAAGAACTTACTTACAGTGAATCAATGCATATATTATATTTCTAATGGTATTTTTTTCCATCAAATACTCAAAATGAAATTTGAATGACGTTTTCCTCAAGAATGTTTTCTACAATAACTAAATATCTAGGCTACATGTTCTAGGCATTTACTTACTTGAAAAATCCAGAGAAATCCAGTCCAGTGAAACAAGGAGATGAGCTCAGAGGGAAGTTCGCAGGTAGTGTGAGTTCATGGTCAGATGACTGGACCTATAAACAAATCTGTTATCCAGTAGCATTGGGAAGATAAACAATAGGACCCACTGACTATGTAAATGTGGTCTTTAGAAAAACAACCAATCTGAGATAATTTTTTAGGATGGCTAATAGTAGTGTTGCAATTTTGCAACTGTGGGCCTTACAGGCCTTACACAATGCTTGTGTTTCGCTTGACAGACTTTTCAATGCTAAACCAGAGGGAAGAAATAAAAACTCAAACCAATAAACCTGTGAAACCAGTTTAAGTTAAAATATATCTTACTCCTTTGATCCCATCAAACTGCCTCTCCTCAAAAACTAATATCACCTTGATTAAAACACTATTGAATGATCCCGCTCTGCTTCAAGTCCCATCCTGAAATCCTGTTTCAGTCTGAAGAACATCAGATTAATACACAGTTTGAGCTGGAGTCCTGAGCTGTTGACAGTTAGCAGAGAGAAGTTTGTTATCGAACTGATTCCAGTTACTCAGTGAAATGAAATCTGCCTCAGAGCTCAGACTGCAGACCTGGCAGGAAGAGAAACTGCTGAACTCACAGGTTACTTCTGATTTGTTGAGGGTGACAGGAACGTCTTGGCATCGCCATCTGGAGTGCTCCACTCTTTTTAGCTTTCTTCATTTGTTTTTACTTCTCTGTTCAGTTCACCTTCACTTTCCTATCTTCTTTGCTTATCTCTTTTGTTTCTCTTTGAGTGATTCATTCTCTTTATCACAACTGAACTAGGACGTGAACCCAAATGCACAACTCAGACACAAAGTACAAATTAATAATATTTTAATAATAAAGCAAAAGAAAGTCGCTCTAACAGAGGAATATATAAGCAAAGTGCACAAATAAAAATCGCTCTTTCAAGGAAAACCAAAAAACTCAAGACACAGGAAAAGACAAAGTATCAAAATACTGTGCAGCAAGACTATGGTCAAAAGTAGTATTGAATTCAAAAACCTGGCGTGGGAAACGTGGCCGGCGTGGTTCTCTGGTAACATGACAAGACAAACTGGCACAGGACAAAGGGAAACGCAGACTATATACACACACACGGTAATGGGAAACAGGTGGAAAAAATCAGGGCGGGGCAGACAATCAGACAAGTGGGAAACACACAAGGGAAGGAGGAAGTTACCTGAAACGAGAGGAGAGTTAGGTTTTCAAAATAAAACAGGAAGTCACGAGACAGACAAAACTAAACATAACTTAATGTCTTTTCATGGACATGACACTCTTTCTTTGGGTTTCCCTCTAATTTTCCTGTATCCCTCTGTCCTCTAGCCTTCACCTTTTTCGACCCGAACGACCCGGCCTGTTTGGAGATCCTCATGGATCTTCGTACCACCATCCCAGAGCTGTTCGCCATTGTGCGTCAGTGGGTTCCCCAAGTGCAGCACAAGATCGACATCATCGGCAACGAGGTGAGAATGCACAAATATCAAAACACTGAAACACTACCATGCCTTTTTTTTTGTTCACATTGTTGTCTGTGAGTATTACAGAGAAAAGTATTCCAGTTTGGGTTATTTTAGGTACTTACTAGTCTATTATTGGCAGTAAATTTGGGTCAGCACGCTATATTTTGAATATTTTTGGAGACATTGATTGAATTAACATTTTCATAATTTATTATTTTCTTATTTTCTTTTCTTAATTTATCAAATAAAAATACAATCACAAAATTCAGCTTCTATGTTGCACAGATTTGTAGCTTTTTTCATCTCATATCATCATAAACTGAATCTTGTTTCTTTAAAAGTAAAAAAAATATAAAAAAGGTTTGATCGATAGGAAGATATATTTGTGGTTTTAAGAACCAAAAACCATCTCAATGTAGTTTTACATCTCCTCTCTCAGGCTTCTCTCTGGAGCTCTAGTAACAACGGGTCAGTGAGCCAATCAGAAGAGAGGAGGCTCTGAGCTTCTCTTCTGACTGTTTTCTGAGTGATCCAATAGAAATATAGCAGGTTTCAGGTAAAGACTCAGAGAAACTAAATCCTGCAAAGTTGGATGGTGGGTCCAGGTGGGCTGGGCTTGGGGCATGGCTGAGAGCGGTGACTGCTTTGTTGTGACATCACAAAGCTCCAGAAGTCCTGACCGTTGGTTTTAAGGCTCAGTTTCTGAAAAAAAGGCTGTGTGCATTTCTCTGTGGACTCAGCGCTTGGATACTTTCACAGAGTTAATATAGAACCTAGACCTGCTTTATAAAACAGACATGGAAATCCTTTAAACAGTATGGGTCTTTAAGTGAAACAATTGGAGAGTAGTGCAAGAAAATCAAAGTGATAAAGGAGAAATAATATAGAGCGCCTGGTTCATTGTTTGTTTTGAGAGGAGAGTGACGCAATAGACAAGCCTGTTAGACATAACAAATCAGAGCGTTAGTTTCTTTAGAGAGAGAAATGGCTGCACTTTATCTAAACTTCAGATGATAAAAGGCAGATTGAAATTCTGAATCAGAGATGACACCAACCCTATGTCCTGTGGTAAGAAGGTAATGCTAAAGCTTAAGAAGCAAGAAGTTCACTTCACGTCTGTATTGCCTGCCCTACTTGTTCTGGCATGGAGCCTGATCCTGACTCAATCATCATTGTCACATTGACCCAGATTCAACCCTCTGGACACACACACACACACACACACACACACACACACACACACATACACACACAGATAATGAACAATGAAATCCCACTGACAGCTTGAAGCTTGTGTTAAGAACAAAGGCTGAATACTGAGTATTAACAATTCACATTTCATTCTGTATGAATCACTATCAAAATGTAAAGAAACACAGGATTGAATGCTGTTACAGTGTAACAGCCAAACAGGTTTTTAAAGCATAAAGACACCTTCCATAACTAAAACCACTTCCTGTCTAACTCCAGTTGTAACCACGACCTTAACCATAATCAGAATAATAACTCTAACATGTCATGGTGGCTGTGATTTTGTTCATAAATTGGAGGTGAGTTCCCACAATCTCAGTGATAATCAGCACACAAACAAACATTGTGATAATGACCCAGTTAAAATGATTGCATGGACACGGAAAAAATAGAGCAGAGAAAGTGGTGAAGAGGGAGAGAGAGACAAGAGGGAAACACAGAGAGAGAGAGAGCTCGGAAGTCATTGAGGCTCTATCATGATTCAGCAGGAGGCTGACTCAGCCTGGAGGAGTAAAAAACAAGGAGCAGACACTGACACGACTCAGAAACAAAAAAGTCCTGTCCAGACAACTGTTGACACTTCACTTGATCATGTTTTTGCCTCATATTATTTTAATTTCATTTTTAATCTGGCAGCTGATCACTCTTGAAAATTATACTCTAGAGAGCCAAAGTGAAACAGAGACTTGAGGTTGTGTTTCAGATGTCAAAAGAGCTCATTCAAAATCATCAATAGCTAAAAATTCACAACATAACATACACAGTTTGTCATGCAGTTCACTTCAAATCTCTAGATGAGGCTAATCAACTCAAAAACACCATTATTTAAGCATTTCATTTGAACATCATCTCCTCTAACCTGAGATCATTGTGGGTTAATGCTGCGTTCAGGTCACATGGGTCAGACTGTAACTCCAGCCATTAGAGTGGACAAAAAGGTTCACATCAGCCTCAGTTGTAGATACCAGGTCAGGGACAGTGTCAACAACAATAATACAGTAAATTCCTCTAATTAAAAAGGAGCTGTACTCTGTTTAAGATAAGATAAGATAAGATAAGATAAGATATTCCTTTATTAGTCCCACAGTGGGGAAATTTCCAGCATCACAGCAGCAAAGTGGACAGTACAAAGAAAAAAAAACAGATTGCCAAATGACAAGAACCAAGATACTTAAAGAGATAAATAATATAATAAAATAAAATAAAATATAATATGTACAATTAAATACTAAATATACAGCAGATGACTTGTATTGCACATGGTGGATTATCAGTCTTTGGTGTGTAAGGCCACTGAGTGCAGTATTTGTTGTAAAGTCTGACAGAAGCAGGAAGGAAAGACCTGCAGTATCTCTCCTTCACACACCGTGGGTGCAGCAGCCTGTTACTGAAGGAGCTGCTCAGTGCTGAGTGAGTGTTCTGCATGGGTTGAGAGATGTTGTCCAACAGGGATGAAAGCTTAGCGATCATCCTCCTGTCGCTCACTACCTCCACTGGGTCCAGGGGGCATCCCAGAACAGAGCTTGCCTTTTGCAAGTGGGAGTCATTGGAGTTGTAGGAGAAGTCTGTAGTGTAGAGGGTGAAGAGGAACAGAGCCAGAACCCTTTCCTGTGGGGCTCCTGTACTGCAGACGACTCTGTCAGACACACAGTCCTGGATCCTCACATACGGTTGGTGAGGTAGTCGAGGATCTATGTGGTGTGGTGACAGTCCACTCCCATGCATTCCAACTTGTCCCTCAGGAGCGTGGGCTGGATGGTGTGGAAAGCACTGGAGAAATCACTGGAGCTGGGGTGAGGGTGAGGCAGACGACAGGAGGGACAGGACGGGGGAAGGCACAGATGACTGATCAGATCTATTGAAGAAGAGATTTAGATCATTCCCCCACCTTCTATTTGGTTTCACTTGTTAACAAACTGCTACAGATCAGAGATGGAGACTCGAGTTGCAATGACTTGAGACTCAACTCGGACTCAAGATTCTGTGCTGAATGTCATTTCAGGGAGCCAGAATCAATGAGGCAGCATGGGACTGTTGCTGACTCATTTTACATCAATAACTAATTAAAAAAAGAATGAAAAACTGACTGTGAAAAGCTCAAAGAAAAGAAGTTAAAATCCAGGAAAAAAAGCTGTGAATAGTTGTATCAAGGAGCAGTAACTGCAGATAACAGAATGGAGGAGCAGAGTAGCAGAGTGAGTTGAGGACCACAGCTCCCAATACAGCTCCCAGTGAGTCCAGTTTTACACAGTAAACACAAGACAACAGGGATCTAGTCTGAATATCTTCAGCAGTATAATCATGTATAGCTTCATATCCTGCTGTTGTTTCTGCATAAATTGTAACACACTAATTAAAGTCCTTAAAGTCTGTGTGGTTTGGAACTTGAGACTTGACTTGGACTTGAAAAAAATAACTACTGAGCATCTCTGCTCCAGATATGTAAAACAATAAAAATAGTTGAGTAAGGCTTAGTTTCCAAATATTTATCACATAATGTATACTGATAATGAACATAATGATTCGTTACAGCCCTGGCGTACAGTAAGTAAAAATAGATTTTGATGAAATAGAAAATGTGTTGTTTAAATAAGTGATAAAACACATTAGGGTCTCCACTCTCCAACAGCCACTGTTTCATTAACTGAAGACAAATAAGTGAGCAGATGAGGATCAGGCTAAATTAACCACATTAAAAGCCACAATGTGTCACTAATGCATTCATACATTTTACCAAACATTCACTGAGATAATGTGAGGAAGTGGAAGCTACATATGAACCCCTACAGTTAGTGTTATCCACTGTGAAGTGTGTGTGTCTTTTCTCTGTCTGTGTTTCAGATCCTGAAGCGTGGTTGTCATGTTAACGACCGCGACGGTTTGACTGATATGACGCTGCTGCACTACAGCTGTAAGGCCGGAGCACATGGAGTTGGTAAGATACTTCCAGTCAGTCAGTCTGACACAACCCAGCTCAGCTGCACTGCTGTGATCTGTTAAAGGATCAGTCAAACCTTTTTTTCAATCAGAGACTTCATTTGTGTTAATGAATAAACTTTTACTGCCATGTGCAAAACAAGAGAGGAAAAGTGAGAGTCCTTGGTTATTAGACCCCATAGTGATGGCACATAGCTGGAGATGTGGATGTAAAGAGGAGTGATGATGAGCTGGATATGACTGGATATGAAGGACCGGAGGGGAATGGAGTAGAGAAGTGTCACAGCAAATCACACTGAAATGACAGCTTTTAAAGTATGACAGGGACAACGTGATTGGCTGGTTGAGATCATGGTGAGATCTGATTGGTTGCCGAACACCTGAAGTCAGCTGATTACAAGGAGTGAGGGTGAGAGAGGGAGAAAACAAGAGAATTGTGAATGGAAGCAGAATAGAGATAGTCTCCTGACTGAACCAAAGCTAAGCTTCATTTCACCATATCTTTTAATTATTATCAGAAAATCTTATGAAAAGACCAAAACCACAGTGAACTGATCTCATTGAAAAGTCTGTGCCATAGTCAGGTCACTATGATTCATAAAGCATATAATTGATATGAATTGATATAAAGATATGAAACACAACTGTGTTTATCCTTAGACCCTCAAAAATACCCTCCAAGAGGAAATAAGGTAGAAACTTAAATACGAAGAACTATACTGGTCTGATGCAATGATTCCAGAGACCAACATCAGTTCCTCACATAGTTCCCAGTCAGTGCACAGGGTTGAGGATCTGTGTTGTAGAGATGACGTCAGGGTGGGTGTCGGTTCTGCTCCTGTGCTGCTGTAAAGCCGCAGTTTCATGCTCTCTGTTTGTGCAGGCGATCCAGCGGCGGCGCTGCGTCTCACCAGTCAGCTGATCTCTCTGGGCGCCGACGTGAGTCTGAGGAGTCGCTGGACCAACATGAACGCCCTCCACTACGCCGCTTACTTCGACGTCCCAGAACTGATCCGAGTCCTGCTCAAAGCTGCTAAACCCAGAGGTACACACACTCACACACAGACACACACACACACACACACACACACACACACACACACACACACACACACACACACACACACACACACACACACACACACACCACACACACACACACACACACACACACACACACACACACACACACACACACACACACACACACACTCACACACACACACACCACACACAGGCTCAGTGGGTGGTGTGAGTACAGGATAGAAGACGGTTCAGCAGAGCAAGAACAGTCCTTGATCATTTCCTGTCACAGATTTTCTGTCCCTCAGTGTTCCTCACTCTCAGCACATGTTAAAGTCAGCACTGGACTGGAGACTTCTTCTTCTTCTGTGCTCTCCACAGTGATGAACTCCACCTGCAGTGATTTCCACTACGGTACAGCCCTCCACATCGCTGCCTCCAACCTCTGTCTGGGTGCAGTGAAGTGTCTGCTGGAGCACGGAGCCAACCCCACTGTCCGGGTAAGAACACACCACTGTACTTTATGTATTTATTTATTTGTTTGTTTATTTATTATTTGAGGGAGGTAGTTAACCTCTAGCATAATAATCAGGCTGAATCATCATTTGGCTTCATTTCAGTCATCAGTTTTCTTTAACATTAAAATCTGAATCCTGCCTGAATGCTTTGGGAGGATGAAGAAGTTTATGGTGCAAAGGCACAACTTTAGGGATTTTACTCAATACCAATCATTGTATTGGCAGCAACAACAAACTCCTTTGATGTTTGTTTTTAGTGTTAATTAAGTTATTTTTTGCATTTTAGCACATGTAGGAATGGAATTCACTCCCAAATCATATTGTACAACAAAATATGGTTTTAAAACACTAAAAAAGCATTACCTAGAAGAAATTTCCATAGTAATGAGTATACTTTTATGTATAGATTCATGGCAAGTAAGCAATTTGGAAGGATGATATTTGTCTGTGAGATGATGATAAATTCAGTCAGAACTTGTTCATTTTCTAGCGTTTGTGTTAAATTAAATTTGAATTGAGTCACTTGTTATTCTGTGCATTATTATGTGTATGTGTATGTGTATTGTTATGTTGTGATGAGTATTGTGAATTTCTATGGTTGTATTGTCAACAGCAAAACTGTATAGACCCCAGGAAGAATTTGAAATCTAAATCCCTCCATCTTCAAATTTTAAATAAATGTATTGGGTGTGTAATAGACCAGTGGAAGAAATTCATCTGTCCAATGAACAAATCCTACTGCTCCCCACACTTTTTTTATTTTTATTGGTGACAAAATGTAACATAAGAGATCATGGACAGACAGAAATAAGATAATATATATAGTAAGATAATGGGCTTAAGAATAATAATTATAATTTTATAATGGAATGTCAAATAGAAATGAGTGGCGAGGTCCATCACACACTATCCAAAACCCTGTTCTGTACTTGGATCGGCACTTGAGCTGTATTAAATCATGACTTTCAGAGTGATTATTTAACCTATAGAAAATTTCCCCTCCCTCTGTGCAGAATGATAAGGGCCAGGTTCCAGGGGAGGTGGTCCCTGACCCGATGGACATGACTCTGGACAAGGCAGAGGCAGCCATGGTGGCCAAAGAGCTGAAGCAACTGCTGCTGGATGCCGTCCCTCTGAGCTGTAACCTCCCTAGAGCCACTCTCCCCAACTATGACAACATCCCAGGAAACCTGATGCTGTCCTCGCTGGGGCTGAAGCTGGGAGACCGCGTGTTGCTGGATGACATGAAGGTCAGAGGCAAACTGAGTGTCAGGGACTTTAGTCAGTCCACTAAGTGAGAACAAACACACTGAGGTGCAGGGTTTCAGACACTGTTTGATGATACAGCAACAGTTTCATTTGAATCACATCGAGGCCGCTAGGTCCCATAAATACCAAAGATCTGCATCATACTGAGTTTAAACTACAGCAACCAAAACTTCCTGTAGTTTAAGCTCAGGTTAAATATGAATTGAATAATAAAATATAATGGATCAAATGAAAGGAAAGTAAATGCATTGACTGTCATTACATGAAGCATGAAAACCTTGTTTAACTATTTCACATCAACTCTGGCGGTTTTCCCCACTGCTCTTTGAATATGACTTTTTACAGCTACATGCACTGTAAATGGAGACTAGTTATTGTAACAGCAAGTGGGCAGGCAGGGGTAGTGCAGTTTGCATCTCTGTTGCGTTGCTGCTGCTGCAGCTCTCTCTCGCTCTACATAGAGTTTGCAGGTTACTGAAATGTTGGATTTCTCTTCATCACAAATTTTCTGATTTATTTTTGACAGAAAATGTCACTAAAGCAGCTCTGTTTCCACATGCAGCTGCTAAATTGGTTAAAAATATATTTATATCATTGCATGTCTGTATCATATTGAGTTTCAGACTAGACATTGAAACTATAGTGGAAGCTGTCAGTTTTATGTAATGTTGCTGGTATGATGTCACTATGACATCAACAGGTCTTTTCTCTGTCTGTTTTTGCTGGGTCACGTATGGAAGACCAGTGACATCACAGGAAAAGTAATCAAGCATTTCTTTAATTTCATATTTTGATAGGTATTAAAAACAGGAATTGTAAAAAGAAGTTTTATAAATTAACGATTGATCCATCAATAAATACTTCAGATTTAAAAATGGATTTACAAAAACAGCATAAAACACTCATTTAATAAGCCATTTATAAAAGCATTTATTAGTTCATGAATGAATAATAAAACTATTTAAGAAGGCATTTTTCAAATGGGAATACATACCTGGATTCCCTCTTCAGTTTCCATTTCCTTTTCCAGCTGCTTTTCCTTTCCCTTTTAGCTAATCGATGAGCTTAGTCATGTAACTTCTCCTTTTAACCTTTCTGAGACACTCTGGACCTTCAGTGCTGTAAAACAGGCTAAACAATCCCAATTGTCCGTGGCATATAACAAGCTCTCTGATTGGTTGGAGAGCTTAACAGTCGGGTATTACCAGCACTGACAGCCCAGTGCAGCCATGCAGTGTGTCGCTCTAACCCCTTAACATGAGTGCCGAAATGAAAACCAAGACCTTCGCTGCCGCCACGCACAAACCAACACAGCCAGTGTGTTCCTGGCCTGAAGCCTCTGCTGAAATGTGTTTAAACTGGACACAGGTCCTTTCCACTTCCAGGTCTGATCTTTAAACCAAGATTCCCTGCACACAACATATATAACGTATATAATAAGATAAATAAAACAGTTTTTTCTACGAGTGCTAAGTCAAAGGTGACTGGACTTGTTTGGACAGAACCACATATTTACAACTGTTCCAAATGTCCTACTCAAAGGTGGGGTGAAAATAATACCGTCACAGGAAGGGACAAGACAGGATAATTGTCTAAATGGGAATAACACCATATAATCAAAGGCTTTCATAGTATTGCACTCTGTTGCATATAACAGTATGAAAAGTGCCCGAGTTGCAGCATCTTTAAGAGTCTAAAGTTCAAGTTGTCTTTGACGTAAAACTTGCAAATGAAATTAAAAAGCTGCTTAAGAGCGTGTTCTGAAATGAGACGTGATGTCATGTGAACATGGCTACACATAAAGTCAGCAGTAACAAATATATTTTCAGCGTGGCATGTTGTGTGATCGGTCCACAGTAGCTTTAATTGGTTAAATAAACCACTGCAGATGATATTATAGGTGCTTTGTGGTTTGAAGTGAATGCATGGCTGCAGGACAGAATGACGCTGTGTGAGCTCTGAACAGTGTGTTCTCGCTGTGTAGCTCCAGAGAGACCAGAGCAGAGATGACGTCCCGGCTGCAAACCTCACACAGGTTGGTTGGACCGGGCTCCGACTGGACCACAGACTAACTGAACTGACTCACCACGCTGACAACATGTTCTCTTCCTGTCACATGACCAATTAAAATCTGTTCACCTTCACTTCATCTATAGTAGTGATGTTACTGTATGTGCCGAGTTACATGTCCTCCCTCTCCCCTCCATGAAGTATAGCAGCTGACACCCAGATTATCTGCCTCCATGCAACCTAACCAGCTAAAGGAGCTCTGCAGTCATATTTCATGCACGTTTAAGGGTTCACCTCTAACTTCAGGACTCTGTCTCTCTCACAGACCGGCACCCTGAGGTTTTGTGGTACGACAGAGTTTGCCAGCGGTCAGTGGGTCGGCGTGGAGCTCGACGAGCCTGAGGGAAAGAATGACGGCAGTGTGGGTGGAGTCCGCTACTTCATCTGCCCTCCGAAGCTAGGTAACAGCTTCAAGTCTATCAACCCCTGCAGCAGTGATGGTTATTTGTTGTTATTATTTGTTGATGGAGCGATGAAGTTTGTAATTCAAGTCATATATCTGCGACATATACTGTTGACTCCAGTGGCGGCTGCTGATTATTTACCTGAGTGTGGCTTCAGGTGCTGAAGGCTTCTTCTCACACACTATCAATGTTGGTGTTGAGCACTAAGCTTTGACACCAATTATAGAACTGAATATTAAATCAAAACCACAGTTTATCCATCGCCAAGCAGAAAGATTCTCAAGAAAATTTAAACTTTAAATATTTCAACATAAATGCTGAATGCGTTTATTCAGCATACCATATTGGTAAGGACATGTCCCTAATGTCCATATGCAAACCTACGCCCATGCTTTTTACTTGTATTAGAGGAAGGTGGGATTTTAAATATAAATAAAACGTCAGACACAATTAGCAGATAGATACGTTTCTCTCAGAAGTTGGTGAACACACACCACTCTAGTGGGACAATCATCTTTGATGTTATAGTACGTTATATCTTTTTCGCTACAGGGATTTTTGCCCCGGTGTCAAAGATTTCCAAGGCTGTGGACCAGACACCTTCATCTGTCACCTCCACCCCCCGAACCCCCCGCATGGACCTGGCGTCCCGCCTTGCTGGGAAGACCAAGAAGGAGAAAGAGAAGAAGGAAAAGGAGAAAGAGAAAGGTAACGTTTGTCTAACATTACAGTCTGTGTTAATGTCACATGTCGAATCTCTTAAAAACAGATTCCTTACATTAGGGAATAGAAGTAGAAGTAAGTCCGTGTTACATTTTTTCTATAACAGTGTTAAAGAGAGTGTCGTGGTTGTGAGTGGTTATGTGTTTCCTTTGTGTTGTCAGCTCAGAGGAAGAAGTCGTCCATTGCCAGTCTGGATCCAGAGGGACTGAATGTGGAGGTTGGAGATCAGGTTCTGGTGGCTGGACAGAAACACGGCATCGTCCGCTTCTACGGCAAGACCGACTTCGCTCCAGGTCTGTGTGCCTTATACTCTGGTAGCTTGATAGGCCACCATGCTAACATGCAACACTGCTAGACACCGCTGAATTCAAAATACTACTCTCTCACTTTGATAGAATTTATAAAACCTTGGTGAAGCAGTTTTCAGCTTGAAATTAGGAAACAGTTTCTTTAACAAACTTATTAATATTATTAAAGCTGGTATCAAAGCAATACAGTGTCAGTATAAAGGGAAACAGCTGTTGGATTGTTCTTTGTGGGGTAAATTCCTGGTGAACATAATTTTTTAATTACCGTTTTTTTATTATTATTATTATTATTACATTAACTGTTATTACATTAACAGTAACAGTTTTGACCTGAGATTATGATTCAGCAGCTTCAGGAAAGTGGGTCAAACTCAGGTAGAGGCAGAACAGGTGTGACCTGAGCCGTTTGTGTCCCTGCAGGTTACTGGTTTGGTATTGAGTTGGATCAGCCGACAGGGAAACACGACGGCTCTGTGTTTGGAGTCCGTTACTTTAACTGCCTGCCCAAATATGGAGTGTTTGCGCCGCCCTCCCGCGTCCAGAGGTAAGGTAGTGTTCAAAACAACAGATGTAGCAGTATTTTATTTTACTTTAGTGTCTGTTGCTAGATTATATCAGTGTAATTTCACTAATCAGTGCATGATGATTTTAATTACTTTATATAAAATTATATCAAATTCAAAATATTGAAGGGCATTAACATCAGCGGAGGCCGGGTGCTGTGTAGAACTCCATAATAAACCAGAGCAACATGAGATGTGTTGTTTTTTCTTTTTTTTTCCTCTTCAAAAGTGTCTTTTTTAAAATGATGTGTTCTTCCCGACAACATCATAAAAACACCTTTCGTCGTCGTTGTTTGTGTCAGAATTGGAGGCCCTAAAGACGGCTCACAGAATGACAACTCCATGGTGAAGAAAGTCCACCAGGTCACCAGTAAGTATCTCTCATCATACTGTCAGGTCAAACAGAGGAGGTACACCGAGGTGTCTGAGGCTGACAGCTTTCCAGGAGATGTCAGATTTTTGTGGTATGGACAGACCTTCATAGTTTGACTTCATAGTTTTGTCTCACCAGTTTTATTGCCACTACTGGAAACAGTTTTACAGCAGAGTATCATACCAACAGCCATCAGGCAGATCTGAAACACACCCATCTTCACCCAGTGTAGATTAGGCTTAGGCGATATCCAAAAGGTAATATTGCAATACAGTCCAGCCCAAATATCGCAATATATATTATTATGATATCTTTCATATTATACCATTATATTACTGTATTTTATGTTTAGGTATAAGTCATGCTGCCACCAAACAACAGTTCAGCAGCAGTTCAAAGGGCCGGACTCAGGAGCAGGGCAGATACATTGCAAAACTGAAAAAAAGTGATAATACAAACAATATCACATATGTTGGGAAATATTGCTCTATTTGATATCACTGAATATTAGCCCAAGCCTAATGTTTTACCTTATTACCCTATTAACCAGGCGAACAGAAGAAATATGAATGGCAGCTAGCCCTCAAAAATTCCTTTGTTCAACATTTGTACCCACTCTGAACACACAGGCTTCTTCACGGCAGTACAACAGAGAGTTGAGAGACATTCACCATTAGCAATATGTGGTTATTAGAGTAAAACTGGACTTGCCATGTGTTGATGCTCCACTGTGTCTGGTAATATTGTTGTGTCTCTGCAGTGCAGTTTGTAAAATTGTTTCATATCTGATACAATGATGTAGGGCAGCTAATAACTGCAATAATCCTTCAAATGTGGATACAAGCGACAAATTGGTATGTTTATACCTCTGGGGCCATTCATTTGAAAAATCCCATTAGCCACTTGAAATTTTTAAGATGGCCACCATTTCTGGAAAAGGAAACACATATTTTACCACAGACTTTTACCCACAGGACAACTCTCTACGATTTTGCAATGTAATCTTGTGTTTTAGACTGTGAGGATGTCAAATTCACAACTCGTAAATTTCCTCAGAGATTTATTTGTGCAATTTCTGATATGTAATGTGAAAAATTCTGCATAAAACACAATGTATATGCAAAACATTTATGGTGAATGATAAACCAAAAGATCTGTAAGAGTCAACAGTTTACTTGCTTACATTAACACTAACTACACTAATATCAGCTCGCTAATTTGCTGGCGCAAGGCTAGTTAGCAAGCATTTTTGTGAGTAATATTTTTGCTGAAATATACTTTCATTTCATTTTTTACAGTGTACTAAATTTCACCTTCTACATTGTTGAAATGTTTGATTTGACACCTGGATTATTCATATGAGAAAATAGTGGATGAACTTATTGCAAAAAATAACATTTCTTTGCCAGAAATAGATAGATAGATAGATAGATGGATGGATGGATGGATGGATGGATGGATTGATAGATAGATAGATAGATAGATAGATAGATAGATAGATAGATAGATAGATAGATAGATAGATAGATAGATAGATGATACTTTATTTATCCCCTAGGGGAAATTCATGTGTCCATTAGCTCAACAATGATAATTAGATTAGTCCACATCCTTTGGCTGAGGTGTTGTATAGCCTGATGGCAGTGGGAATAAAGGATCTCCTGAACCTCTCTGTTCTGAGATGACACGTTTGCTGCACCTGTAGCTGCTTCTCTGTCCTGCCAGAATGTTTTGGAGAGGATGGTTGGTATTGTCCAAGATGGCCTCCATCTTACATTGCATGCGTCTCTCCACAACAGTCCTGAGTGAGTCCATTCCTGCCAAGCACAGACCCAACCTTTTCTACCAGCTTGTCCAGTCTCTTTGTGTTCATGTCAGACATGCTGCTGCCCCAGCAGACTGCAGCATAAAAAAGTATGCCGGCCACCACTGACTGACATCTGCAGTGAAATGCTGCACATTTTATCAAAGGACCTGAGCCTCCTGAGGAAAAAGAGCCAGCTCTGTAGATGACATACTTGTTCAGGGACCGGTCCAGTTTACTGTCCAGGTGCACACCTAGGTATTTATAAGTGTGCACCACCTCAATGTCCTTCCCTCGAATGTTGACTGGCTGAAGGGTGGGCCTGGACCTCTGAAAGTCCATGACCATCTCCTTGGTCTTGGAGGTGTTCAAAAGGAGGCAGTTCTTGTCGCTCCATTCACTGAAGGCCATTGTCAGATCCCTTTACTCCTCTTCCTACCCATTCCTGATACGTGCCACAATAGCTGTGTCATCCGAGTATTTCTGGATGTGGCAGGAGTCAGAGTTGTCCGCCATATATAGGGAGAACAGGAACGAGCCAGAACAGTCCCCTGAGGAGCCCCAGTGCTCCTCAGAAGGTGGAGAAGCAGCCGCTCCAGGGTCTTCATGATGTGTGATGTCTGTAGTAATTTATCTCAGCCATCATCCTACTTTAGATACCGGAACAAGACATGAGGTTTTCCACAGGACAAGGACCCTCCCTGTTTGTTGACTTAAGTTGAAGATCCTGTGGAGAGGCTCAGCCAGCTGGGCTGCACAGTCCTTTAACAGCCTCAGACACACACCATCCGGGCCTGTTGCCTTTCCAGGACATAGCCTGTTGAGCTCCGCCCTCACCTCCTCTGCTTTAAAGGACAGGAGACTTGACCCCAGTGTGGAGGGAGTTGCAGCTGCAGTGTCAGGTTGTGGAGGAGATGCCATAGGAGAAGCTGTAGCAGAAGCAGTGGGAGAGAGAACAGATGAGGCTGTGTCAAACCTGTTGTAGAACAGGTTGAACTCATTGGCCATGTTCAAATCACCTGATGATGCCTGGCTGCTCTTCTCTTTATAGCCAGTGATGGTCCTCATCCCCTTCCACACCTCTCTGGTGTTGTTGTGCTGCAGCTTCCTCTCTACTTTCTTTTTGTAGTCCTCCTTCGCCTGCTTTAATCTCCTCTTCAGCTCATGTTGCACACACCTGAGCTTCTCCCTGTCTCCATCCCTGAAGGCCTTCTTTTTTCTGGTTGAGGAGGGTCTTGATGTTACTGGTGATCCAAGGTTTGCTGTTTGGAAAGCAGTGTACAGTTCTTGCTGGTATTACAGTGTCCATACAGAAGTTAATGTAGTCTGTGGTACATTCAACCATTCTATCAAGGTCAGGGTCCTTGCTTTTATCATTTTTCTGTGACTCCAACAGTACATTTCAATCTGTGCACTCAAAACAGTCTTTTAGATACTCACTGGCCTCCAGGGTCCAGTTCCTGAATGAGCGGGTGGTTGCAGCCTGCCTCAGTACACAGGGCTTGTAGTAAGGATGAAGAAAAACCAGATTATGATCTGATCTGCCAAGTGGTGATAGACCCGAAGCAGTGTAGGCCTCCATGACATTTGCATACAACAGATCAAGTGTCTTATTTTCCCTTGTGGGACAGTCAACATACTGAGTGAAGCCAGTCAGTTGAGAGATGAGAGTGAGATGGTTAAAATCCCCCGATATTGCAATGAATGTATCAGGGTGCTTGGTCAGTACTCCCGCAACAGTCTCGTGAATGAGGTCTCTGCATCCATGGTATGGCTTCTTCAGCTCAGCCGGTATGGGATGTTAAACTCCATATCTGGTAAACTTTAAAGCCAGGAGTTCTTCCTTTGTGTACATTATTTTCTCCATTGTCAGACGAAACAACAACGTAGAATAAAAAACATCAATCGAAAAAATATATACTAATATAAACAAATATATTGCAAAAAACTACTGAAACTTGCTGCCACTTGTTGCCAGCACATCATTTGAATACAGTGAAATGGTGGCCATTTTGAATTTTCATTTTCATATTACAAAAAAGTAATACTCAAGGATGATTGGTGCCAAATACTTGTATCCACATTTGAAAGATTTCATTGATATGCAGTTATCTGCTGCGCTAATGAAGAAAACTACCAGCAAAAAGACCCAAAATAAAAACAAATAATACAGGATGTTATGATCAGAAGCATAACCTTAAAAACCTGGTGGAAGCATCAACATCGGTTCTGATAGAGGTTTGAGTTTCTTCTCTCTGTCTAATGATCAGTTATTAACACACTGTCTGTTTGTTTGTTTCCTGCAGTGTCACAGCCGAAGCGTAACTTCAACACAATGCGTTCTCCTAAAGACCTGACCTCTGAGAGCTCCATATCCAGGTGAGAGCAGAGACCACTGGTTCTGGATTGTTCCGAGTGTATTAATGATAGAAGATGCTGCTTTCTGGAGGTTTAGACTGACAGTGCAGGGAAAGAAGAGGTTCCTTCATGACATAGTGTCATTATCTCATAATGAGAGAGATTGTGTGAACACGTCAAACAGACTTCTTCAGCCTTCTAGCTCCTTTTCAAAACTTCAGTCTGAGTCAGACTTTTGATTTACAGTCATATTTTCCCAGACAGACAGACAGACAGACAGACAGACAGACAGACAGACAGACAGACAGACAGACAGACAGACAGGCAGACAAACAGACGGGCAAGGGCGGGCGGGCAGGCAGGCAGACAGGCAGACAGACAGGCAGACAGGCAGGCAGGCAGGCAGGCAGGCAGACAGAAAGGCGGACAGACAGACAGACAGGGGCAGACAGACATACAGACAGGCAGACGGGCAGAATTTTCAGCACTAAATCTGAAATCTAGGATTTTCCCAGGCTTTATTATGACTTTTTACAAGATGGGAAATGGTAACTATGGTAACAGAAATGTGGTATTAACGCAGCATTTTTTCCATGTGTGTATAAATGTGTGTATAAAAACATAAAAGTATCAGATTTCCCATGTTTGAATGTGTCTCTTTTACCAGGCGTTATGACCTGACCTTGTCTCTCAGGTTCACTAATATAACTTCATCTGCCTTTCCTCTTCCTCATCCTTCTCAACTCCTCTTCCCTTTGGTCTTTGCCCTGCTCAACGCCTCTTCCTTTCTTCCTCCTCCCTCTTTGTCCTCCTCTTCCTCCTCCTGCAGGTTGCTATTCTGCTGTTGGTTTCCGTGGATGCTGCGTGCTGAGATGCATTCCTAACAACCCCCTGTTCCTTCTCCCTCTGCTCCCCCACCATATTGATTTCTCTGCTCTTTCTTCTCTCCATCTTTTACTTTTCCGTCCTCTCTGAGTCTCCTCAGACTATCGCTATCGCCGGTCAAACTTCTCATAGTGAAAACCCAGTCTCTTCTTTCTCTTACGCTCAGCCCAAATCCTTCTAATTTAGCCGTTCTATAGCAAAATCTATAGTGCCTTGGATCTGATCAAAACATCCTGCATTCCTTTAATGAAACTGAAACAGCTCTGCTAAAGCAATTCCCCTAAATCTATCTTTGTATCCCTTTGCTCATCTTATAATCCCATTGTCCCAACTTGGTATTTTACATGTTGTGCTTTTATTCAGGGCAGAAAAATACAGCTGTTTACTTTCTCTAAGGCTAACAAACACTACTGAACATTAGTTTGTGCTGCTACATGTTTTGTTTTTTGCTGCTACTAGATTTGGGTCTTGCCAAATTTTGAACTGAGTGCCAGATGAATTTGTCATAAACTTACTTATCAGTCAAGGTTGGCACCTGTTAGCTAAAAGAAGACAATAACGTGAACACTTTGACTCATAGATTGCGGTTTGTAAAAAACAGACTTTGTATAAGTACCTGAAAATAAACAACAATGACCTGGGAAACAAATCCTGAGTCATGAAGGGGGGGTGTAACTGAGAGTCATGATACTGTGCTGTTATGAAAGAGAACATGGAGGCACAAATGTTCACATTTTGCTTGTTCTCTGCAACGTTTCCAAACAGCAGTGTGTGAGATGGATTCTGCGTAGCTCAAAATGTTTGGGTGCAGAAAATGTTTTGGATATGGAGTTGTTTGTTCACATCTGGCTGCTGCTTCCTCACTACTTATTTGAGACCAAGAACTTCATCATAACAGCCACTGTCTCTGTTGTGTAAATCCACCGTCCTCTGATCCCATGGGGGAGTTGAGGTAGACACTCTTTAAGACACCTCAGCTGTGGTGTCCATTGGCAGAATATGGCTAAATGAGAGCCGTGCATGCATGGTCTCTGATGAAGCACTGATATAAACATGTTTCAGAGGGGCCTTGAACCAGAGGGATAGATTCTCTGCTCAGAGCACTGTGGTTACACATGTGTAGCTGCAGATCCAGTCTCAATCCTAGAAAACTTTATAACTCTATAACTAAACTGAGCGTGAGAAACTTTTATCACCTGCATGCTTTAATCTCAGATGTCAAAATGAAAACAGGGTTTATCTGCTATTTTATCATAGTGTTACAGTCAGTTATATTTTTTTACCTCTCAGATGTATGCAACAGGCCTAATTTTAACGTTAGGATGTGAGATAGCAAAATAGTTCTCGGTCTCTTTGTGACATCTCCTGTCACATACAGGGATCGTTGCTCTGTAGTTTATACGGACGCCATCATTTTACCACTAGTTGAATTTGATGTAACTGCACATCTTAAAGATAAAACACAGCTTTAAGTTGTGCTTTACTAGAAATCTTAACACAAAGTAAATAGTTGGACCTTCCCTCCACTGAACAACAGAAGACTCAGTTTTAGTCAGTTTAATAGAAGTAGATAGACGAATAACTGTCATCATTTATCAAACATTAGTCCATCTAGTTAGAGTTAAATTACAGTGTATTATAGACATCTTATAAATAAAGAGCTGTAGTTGTAATCTGTCATTAACCAAAACTGCTAACAGACCCAAAATCATCATTATCTTTGATGCAACTTCAAAATCAAAAATGTTCAAATCAGAAATGTGTTTTCAACCCCATTAAATGTTGTATTATGTTTTTTGTGTTGCTGCTGTCTTGTTTGCATCTGAAAACGAGTTTCATCTAAAGCTAATATCAGCTTTAATGACCTGTTAAAAATAATAATTTGTACATTTCTGTGTCCCTTCATCAAACCTCTCCTCTATCTCAACGTTTTAATTTCCTACCGTAGGAATTTAGACCTGGATCATCTCTCCAGAAAGTCCATGATATTTGAAAAAGTTTTCTTCCCTCTTTCTCTCCCCCTCCTCTCTCATCCCTCTTGCTCCATTTAAATAAGACTTTGGTACTTCTTTGTGAATGTGAGCATCAACAAAAAACACAAGTTAATCTAAACTTATGTGTGTGCTTAATGTTAAAACCTCTCTCACCAAGTGTGTACATAACTGAAAACAGCAATATGTAAACAGTGTACCTATCTCTGTGTGAAAATGGTTCCTGTGTTAATGTCTCCTCACACTTTGTAAAGCACACTCATACAGAGAGATGAACACACTCACTCTGTTGGCCGAGGCTGCTGGGGGCAAAAAACATTCAGAGAAAATAACCAGATAACCAGAAGAAATCAATGTGTGGAGGCAGGTGTACACCTCAGTGACAGGTAGACTCAAAAATACAAGAGCCATTGTGATTTTCTATGTGATTTTTCACTTTTTCTATTAGAAAGTGGCCATAGTAGCAAGTAAATACAGTCAGTTTTACCCAAAAACAAACAGTCTAGTTATGGAAATCCAAAGTCAGTCATCTGTAATCTATGAATAACACTGCAGGATTTGTATGTTTTATAGGTCAGATCCTCAGTTTATGACCATGAGTCATTGTAGACATTTATTTAAATATAGTTTTTATTTTACAGCTCAAAAAAGATATTATTTTACATCTGACTGTGTTCCCACTAATTTTCCGTATTTAACAAACCCACCACACATTAGTCTTCTTTGGATAAAACATTCAGCTCTCAGCGATGCAGCTTCATGTTTCCAGAGCTGTAAAACTGTAAAATGTGTATTGATTGCTTTACTTGTCAGTCATAGGTTATGCTTTTTTACATAGTGTTGGCTTTTTAAATGAAATAATTTTATATCTCCCGAGTTATATTCAGTTTGCACTTTTACTCAACGATTCATATTCTGGTAAAAACAAGAAGATAGCTCTTGAATTTTTGGTAAAGTTCCAAAACTGGTTATTGAAATTTTGAGTCGACCAGTGTCTGAAGCCATTAAGTGAGAACCTTCCCTATTCACTGGTTGTGTCTGTGTGGATTGACAGAAACCAGGCTGAATGCTGATTGGTTTGGTTGGTTTGTGGAATATTTTTTTTCTCGGTTGGTCTTTGTGCTAGTCTTTTGCAGCCTCAGCTAAAGGAAACACTTTGTGGTTGGTCCTGCACACTGCTGTTGAAAACTGTTCTGTTTGTTCTCATGGAATCAGCTTCAACATTACACAAATGATAACTACAGCACTCAGTTTAGCTCAAACCAGCTGCAGAACTTACATGATCGGACCAAGGTTTTCCATTTCCACTCAAACGCAAAGCTTAGCTCCGAGTGTTGCTGCTGAATACGAGAGTAAAAGGTCAGGGAGTTAAAAACGTATGTCAACCATTTCTCAAGCTTCGCTATGAGTAGTAGGTTGAGTAATGGGACACAAAGTAATGTCCTGGGAGCCCTCATGTCCAGGTTTTTTTCGGACTGACAGTCTACGTGGTTTTGTCAGCTTGTTAAGTTGCAGAGTTTCAGCACTTGCAGCTGAATGGAAAGAACTGACATTAAAAAGAGCTGATTAAAAGAAATCATAGTCAGTTGGCAAATCCAGTGTTCCCGCCTTTTTTGGAAAAACTAATTTGTTTAAGCAGCTTTCCAGGTGAAGAAATGTCCTTAAAAATGACCAAAATGTCCTGACACTACAATCTACCCTCGAAAACTGTAAAATATTTTGATCAGGTTGCTAAAACTTTACAATTCCCCAAAATTTATTACAATGTCCCAGCAAATTCCTAATTTGTTCAGGAATGGGGTGAGGCTATGCAGCTGATTTTAGCATTTGACTTGTAAAGTTTGGAGTGAATTTCGAAATCTGACTGAGGTTTTACAAACCAAGAAATCCAGATTTACCATACAAGTCTAACTGAAGTTAGACTTAAACTTAATTTTTACCCACTTTTCTGAGATAATCCTGCATTGATAGTGTAGACTCTGGGTTATTGAAGCTGTCCAAATGTGAGAATCTTGACATCATGTTAACACGATAAGACTAACCACTTTACCTTCCTGTATTCATGCTGTGCGCTACTTTCATCTGCCATCCACCCAAACCCAAACAAAAGATGCACTGACGTTAACTCGTGTTGTAGTTTACATCTTTTTACAATTTCACACAGGACGCTGTTCAATGCTAAAGCTCCACAGAGTCAGGATCTGCTGACTTCATCTTAAGTGAACATTGACATTGGTAGACAACAGTGATGGTGGAAGTTTGTTTTTGTACAGTAAACGTACAGTACAGTCAGTATGTCCCAGTGAAGCCTCTCTTGGTTTGCACATAGTGTTCTGACTACTCTGTAAATGTGGAGCTTCTCTGGTTTGGCCACTAAGTGTCACTAGTGAGTCACTGGATATTCATCTTACAACAAACAAAATATTATTATTCCTCATTACATATTTTCTATTTGGTTTGCTCCATTTAAGGACTATAGTGGTTTTGCCTGTTTTAGCTCTTTAACACAAGCTACTGAACCTTCACTCCACATTTCTACTGACTCTTTTCCGAAGCTTTCATTTAGCTTTCAGAGTTACTTCATTGTTTCCAGCGAGCCGTGAAACCTGCTGCAGAAACTTTGCATAAATGTCAAAATCTAGTCCCCTTTATATTATTAGTCTCACCTCCACCTGATGGTGTATTCAAGAATGAAAAAATACATCTGAGAACTGATAGCTGGCTGCTATCCTGTCGGAAAATCAACCCATGAAAACCAACAGATTTTCTGAATTTGCCAGAATGTAATTTCACATTAAAGGCTCAATATTCACCAATTTATGTCAATACAAACCTTTTCATTAATCTCTCAGTAACATTTACTCGTGCTCACATACCTTAACCCACTGCACTCAGATGTATCATTATCTATGACAATCTGCTACAAGAAATGGCCATCCTTGTTCAGAAGATATGTCCAGGATTGTGGTTTCTGTCTTAGCTGCTGGTGTGCAGATAAAAGTGATCGGTTTTATAATATAACAATATCAGTAAAGAAAGCAGTGATATCTTTTATGTTCTTGGATTTAACCCTGTCATAGAAATGTAGTACCAAGAGTTAACCAATAGAAGGCATCACTATGACAACACTTTCAGCACAGTTGCTTCATAATGGTTTGTTGCTTCAGACATCTTTGTTTTCTCAATCACTAGCAGCCAGTTGTTGAATTTCAAGTGTCAGAAAGGGGAGTTTTGAAAATGGTTGCCACTGAATTACACCCTGATGGTTACATAAACTCTAACCTAAACTAAATTTGACTGTAATGGATTATCCCTCTGTGGTGAAGTTGGTTTTCATAGAAATGAACTGAAACAGATGGCTACCTGGAAGGAAGGAAATCAATCAAACATGGATGGATGATTTGGAAAATGATCAGCAGCAAGGGAAAGTGTGATCTTTTTTAGTTGATAGGCTAAAACATTCACAACCAGTGATTGGTCCTGTAAAACCTCTATAATCGATCGGTGTATGTATCTGAGAATATAATGTTGAAGTCATTCTCATAGAAACTAACTCAGCACTGGTTGTTTTAACATTAATAAGTCTTAATAATATACAGTATATAGCCTATATTTTGATAACTTCACAAAGTGTACTTTTGTTCTCTGGTTTTGTAGTGTGTGGGTGTTTCTTTGTGCTCGGTTACAGTCCATGTGTGTGAGTCACTCCTGTTTTGAAAGTGTGTGAAGCCGACGGACATTTAAGATGAACAGGGGAGAACGAGCATCGGGCGTCCTCATCCTAACAGATACTCACTGCATGCTCTCTCTCTCCCTCTCTGTAACTTTCTCTCAGTATTTTCTGATTTGGGTTTTTCAGTATGTGTATCTTCTTCTCATCAGCATGGAAATGCTTCTAATAATAACAGTGACAACTCTATGAATATAATAAAGAATTTGATGTTGTTTTTCTACCTCTCCTGTCCGTTGCTTTTACTCACTGAAAACATTTTAGGGTTTAAGTTTGCGGTTAAATTGTAATTTATTTTGATTATAATTACACAGGCATAATGAAGCCTGATTTAATGCATTATCAAAATTGTATACTGTTGTAAACATTAAACAAGTAGATTCAGGCATAATTTAAACCTTAGAAATAACTTTCACATACAAAATATACAACAATGAGCCTAATACAGACCCTTGAGGAACCCCACATGTAACCTATCATTTTAAATAAGTAATTCTTATCTGAACATATTGATACCTGTTTTCTGATCAATTTTTTTAATTAGGAGTGTGCATCATACATTTCTAAGTTCTTATAGCAAGTCATGGTCAATAATGCAAATTTCATTGGTGTAAATTTGTGAAATTATCGAATCTAGAAAATATTTTTTAAACAACTAGAGACATAGAAGAGTAAACGCCATACAACGTTTAACTCTTGCGAAAATCTTGTTGAAAAAAGGACATTATAATAAGTTGCAGACCATGTAGACGCAAACATGGTGCATGTTTTTATATTCAAGTAAGTGAGACTCTGACCAAATCTTAACCTAATCATGAAGCACATGTCAAAAGGCTCATCTCAAAATGTAAAATACAGATTTAGAACTTATTAGCAGGTCTTTTGATACAGTAGATTATCGTATAGTACAGTAGAATTATATAAATATATATGAACTAAATATATATGAACAGGCATAAAATGAAAATTTGAAGTACAAGTAACTCATAACTATTTTTTTATTACATTCAGTATTTGAATACATGTATTTAGTAACATAAAGCTGTTTTGAAGCATTGAGAAAAAACAAAACATGTTATACTGAAACCTAGTGGTCAAATCTTAAATCATTGATAAGTGTTTTTCATGGTGAGGTTCCATACAAAGTACATTATAAATTATGTTGTAGTAATTGTTTTCATAGCCTACGTGTTTCTGATACATAATTTATACAAACATCTGAAACATAACAGCCAACCTAGCCCACAGGGTCAGTTACATCTTATTGTGTCCCATATACAATAGGTTTGGAAGAGAGTAGCTCGGATCCTTGAATTTGACTTCCAATCTTCACCGGTCTGTCACAGTCTGCCCAAATCCCAAACTCTGTATGGATAAATAATTGTTCCTCTGGAAAGCCTGGGTTCAAAAATGTATCACAGTTGTAAGGAACTTGTATCAGGAATTACAACATTAAAATCTCCATCTAATGCTAACACTCTAGAGACGGTCCTAAAAGTCTTTGGTCATGAAGCTTCTGCCTACTATTCTATGATCCTTACAGCCAATCATGATCGATTTATAGGAATGGGAATAAAATATCAAGGGAACTGTGAACAAGGCTGATCCAATTCAAAATTATAAATAGAGTCTACTGGACACCATCCAGGCTGCAGAAGGTGGGTTTGGTGAACCATCCAGAGTGCTGGAGGTGTCATCACAGAGATGGTACTCTAGTACACATGCTCTGGAGCTGCCCTAAAATTCAGGAGTTCTGGTCAGCCATTCATATCAGTGTAGAGAAAGTTACCAGCCCACCCCTTCTCCTCAAGTCTCTTTATTTTGGGTGACCCCTCAGCATTGAGTGGCTTGACTCTGTCTCATGCTGGATCCAGACTGCCCTCATGTTAGGATAGAAACTTGTGGTCAAAGAATAGAGAGCCTCCTCTGCACCAGCATTGTCTCTGTGGCACACTTCTCTTGTTCACCCGGCTGCTCTTCAGCAATTATCATAAAGTTGGAAGAGTATCGCTGGAAATGGGAGCTGGGAAATGGGAACATCACAGTGAGGTTGTCCCTTTTTTGTCTTTTGTCCTCATCTCAGTATGTTATCCTTATTTTTTGTATATTCATCATTATATTCATTAGTTTCCTTCTTATTATATTTTATTCTATATTTTTGTATTTTGTGATTGAAATATTTGCATGTTCTATTCATCATGAAAACAATTCACTGCTAATTTAGAATATAAAACAAACACAGGACAGAATTTATGATAACTACTTTTTTTAATGAAACCACTCTTCTTACAAACTGTGCTTGTGTTTAAAAACTACACACAATGTCTTCAACAAACTAATTTCAATAAGTTACATAGAAATACAAAATAATTTAAATCTAGAAATAAACTGCAGCTTTGGCCAAACAGCTCTCCTCAAACATTTAAGAGTCAACTGTCCCCAGGGTGTGAAGTCCGGGGTGTATAACTTTCCCAGCAGCACCTGTATGCATCACCACAATAAAAAAAGTGATGTTGGGTCACCAACAGTCTCATCTCATCACACTCTGCTGAAGTTCCCTAGAGCAGGCTTCAGGCAGCTAACCTTTGACCTCTGGGGCTGTGAAGACAGCGTCCCTGCACAGGATGAGTTTGACCTGAGAGCAGCAGGTGGACAGTCTATCGGGTTTAGAGGAAGGAGGTGAAGAGACTCTTCTCTGCTCCAATGCAGGGAGGAGGGGAGGGTGATTTGACCTTTGACCCACTTTGCTGTCGCTTCCTCCTGGCCCTGCGGTTCTTAAACCACACCTGAGAGAGGAGAGAGTTTTAGTTTCATGTTCTTAAACAGGACATTTAGAGTAAACAGAATGAACCAAATGAATATTCTTGTGCTATAAAGTATAAAAATCATATAGATTATGTTTTGTACAGTAAAAAATCTTCACAGACTGACAGTCTCCTACATGTACAACAAAGATAGTTTTATGGCTTTGAGTCCAGTGTGGGGATTTTATTCTACTGTAAATCTGCTCATCATGTTGTTTTGATGGCAATTCAAGTCTGTCTTTTTTTTTCATCTCGAAAAAATATTTAAATAAATACTCAAAGTTGCTTTGAACAAAAATATCTGTCAAATAAATTAATTAATATTCAAATATATTAGAAATTGTCTTTGGCTCGTGCGTAAAATGTAGAGAGGTTTTTGGTTTGTATGTTAAATAATCTTAGTTACAACATTCAACAGTTTTATCAGTTTTTTCCTGATGAACAGATTTGAATTGCCACATAAACAAAAACAAACTTGGTGAGTCGGTAACTAAACTAAAAAAATGCAACCTGGAAACGTGTCCTGGATAGACTTTACGCAATTCCATGAATGGGCAGTACATTTACTTTTCTCCATCCAGTGAAACATAATGTCGGACTCACCCTGACCGTCTCCTCGCTCAGCCCGGTGCTCCTCGCTAGCTCAGCGCGCGCCTCCATCCCCGGGTAGTCGGTAAACTCGAACAGCGCCTCGAGCTGCTTGGTCTGACTGTCGGTGAACACGGTCCTCATCCGGCCCTTCTGACGCGGCTGCGACACCTCGGTGTGGTGGTAGCCATGGTAACCCGGCAACAGCTGAGCATCTGGTAAAAAAAAAAAAAAAAGAAAATCATTTAATAGTTGAAAAAATACTGGATTTTATTATTATATTATTATTTTATATTACTACTGTAGACATGACTTTAAACTTTTTTTAACTTATTTTTTTCTTGAACTTGAAACAATAATAGTTTTCTGATCTGTCTGATTTCATCCTAAATTAAATTTTTAAAAAACTTTATAATTAGACCACACACCTGCAGAGTCCCGGCCGCTGAAGTGCACATACACTCCAGGGTTTGGACAAATGCTGCTGAAGTCTGTGCGATGGAAACCGGCTGCGTACGGGTAAAACACATCTCCAAAGCTCATCCCTTGGTATTGCAGGCAGCCTGGCACTGACACTGGTACTGGGACCGGCGCAGGAGGCCTGAGGTTCCCAGAGTCCAGACTGAATCCACTGGGGATCCCCTGGAGATATCCCTCTGGTGGAAACTCCATCACTGGCGGCTTGTGTCCGAGCTGCGGGGAGAGGATGCGCTTGATGCTGAAGTCAGACACTCTGCTTCCGTCCATGATTCAACTCTAAGATCCAAAGTTTCCAGAAACTTGTCCCAGTAACCTCTGAGCTCCCAGAGTCCTTCAGTGTCCAGTTTTAAACAGAAACAGAAACAGAAGCTGCCATCAAACACCTGACGGCTCTTTAATATGTTAATGAGCTTCTTGAATTCAGTGTTTGATGCTGGAGGTTCAGTCAGAGATGAGAAGAAATCTGGACTTTGATTTGACCTCTGAACCCTTAGATTCTTTGAACTGAGAGATGATGTGACTGAATATGAAAAGTGTTTTGTCCATTAAATCTCCTACTCAACTGTTGACTTTCACTGTTCTTCAAACAACTTAATTATCCTGCTCTTATTAGAGTTAATGGGACACAAACACTGAGTCATCCTGTAGCTGTTTAATTAGTTCAAAAATACTTGTAGGCTACATTAGATTTAAAAAAAACAAAATCATTTGTTGCAGTGTGCTATGAAATTAGACTTGGCCAAAATGCAAGCAGAAAATCTTTTTTCTGTGTATCTATACAATATACAAATCTATAGATTTGTTTTCATTTCAGTGACGACTTTCTCAGATTTATTTATTTATATAATCGTAAATCAAAAATATTCAACCACACAACAAAACAGCCGCAGACCAATCAACCTGACTGTTCCTTGTACAGTGTACGTGTTGCTTGACCCACACAGACCTTGTCTCCTGAAGATGAAGTATATACATCTACATAACACACAGTAGCTCAATGCATAAATTGTGTTTTAATGACAAAAATCAAAATCTGTATGTAATAAATAACTTTGCAACACAGTTTCCATTCTAATACAACCCACTCTTACACTTTTATACAGTTTTCATGTGTGCCAGTGTGGGTAAAGAGTGTGTTGTCTAATGCTTGATGAAATATTTCCTGCAGGTCCAGTTTGGGGGAGAATAATCTGCAGGGTGAGATGGTGGCCTGCAGGTAGTGCCATACTCAAGGTTGTGTTCACTGTACTAAGGAAAACAGAGAGCAGACACACAAAGTTCCTATAAACAGGAAAATTACACAGGTAATATATAAAACATGGTTGATTTACAAAGTGTTGAACACCAGAGACTGACTGAAAAATATATCTGATATTATCACAGTGAAACCAGTGTGTTTGATCTTTGCCACATCACAACTCTGTGAGACAAGCTGAGGATGAACGACAGGAGTCACTGAGCTGTTCTCACATTTTCTGGTTTTAATGTTGTTGGTTTGCATAGCTTCAGTCTGAAAACCTGCAGTGACCAAAACTGTCTGAAAATAGTATTATAATCAGTAAAATTTACTTTCTGTCACAGGAAAGTGACAGAAAGTCTAATACTGTTTACACAATATTAAACTGTGGTACAGTGGCAGTAGTAATAGTGAAGTAGTGGTATCACCATTTGTTCATTCGTTTTTATTAATCTTTGTTTCATCATCTGAATGTCAGCTAGTGGTATAATAGGGGATAAATTAAATCTTCACTTCAGTGTTAAAACTGAAGACTGCTTCAAAAGATGACAAAAAATCAAAAGCATTAAATATGAATATGATGTTGTATTGAATCAATGTCCACCCTCTGTGGTTTCCTGTGAGTGTGAGGTGATATTAGCTCAGTCTGACATCTGAGGGAAAGCTCAATAGGTGATCAGTAGCAGATCAATCAGTGTCCTCTCTTTAAATTCTCTCTGAACTGATTGATCATTAACACACATAAAGAATAGAAGAATAAAAAGAAACTACAGCATCCTCAGACTGAAGAGTGAGGAGCAGAAGGAACTGAACATTCACACATGTAAATATGACACACTCCTTTTAATTCAGTGTACAATGCAAACAGGAGGTCAAAGGTCAGAGAGAGATTGACAGTAAAATATCATATTGCACAAATACAACTTTAAATACAACTCTGACTCCTGCCACATCCAGAAATACTCGGATGACACAGCTATTGTGGCGCGTATCAGGAATGGGTAGGAAAAGAAGTATAGGGATCTGACGATGGCCTTCAGTGAATGGAGCAACAAGAACTGCCTCCTTTTGAACACCTCCAAGACCAAGGAGATGGTCATGGACTTTCGGAGGTCCAGGCCCACCCTTCAGCCAGTCAACATTCGAGGGAAGGACATTGAGGTGGTGCACACTTATAAATACCTAGGTGTGCACCTGGACAGTAAACTGGACTGGTCCCTGAACATGGATGCCATCTACTGGAAGGGGCAGAGCCGGTTCTTTTTCCACAGGAAGCTCAGGTCCTTTGACGTCTGCAGTGAAATGCATCACGTTTTATCAGTCAGTGGTGGCCAGCGTACTCTTTTATGCTGCAGTCTGCTGGGGCAGCAGCATGTCAGACACTAACACAAAGAAACTAAGCTGGTGTTGGGACTCATCATTCAAGAGACCAGATGTTTCTTTGCTCCACTGGACAAAGGAACTCACACTCCACAGTTCCTCACTGTTCACACCTGGGGACGACCCTTCCCCCCACGAACCTCACTGGCCAGCCAGTGTGGGTCAGCGTGTGACATGTGACCCCCAAGGGTGTCACCAAACAAAACCAGATCTCCTTCTTGGTTCTCCCTCTTCTCTCTCTCTTCTCTTTTTGGCTTGCTCTGGAGAGCAGCTCCTGTTCTCTCCTCTCGGCTCTTCAAAGGGCAACAAGGCCCCAGCCCAGGTCAGCTTTGCTACCTGAGAAACCAGCTCTCTCGCTGGCCTGCTCACAGCAGCCTGCAAACACTCTTCTCAACAGCAGCGACCTGCTTCGGATTAACTTCGGAGAGTGAACCAAGTTCTCTTCAGAATCAGCAGCCACAACACAAGGCCAGCTGATTTTCCAAGCAACAGGAGTCATAGCAGAGTTAGCATGGAACAGCTAACTCTGTGAGGAGAACAAAGGAGATAACAGCAAAGCAACACAGCCAGACAGGACTTTACTCCACCAGGAAGCCTCCCAACTCACTGGACTTTACAACAAAACTGGAAAGGACCTCTTTGTTTGTTCTAAGGACTGGGTAACGTTAACTGACTGGGCCTAACCTTTCCCAGCACAGCATAGCACAGCACAGCATAGCTAAGCAGCAGAAGTCTTAACTTTGTTAATGTACTTGTTGATTGATGTCTTGTTGTTGTAATGTTGGCTTAGGTTGTGGTCAGTCATACAGTTGATCGGGCACTCGTATGTTCACACACATAGTAGTATGTCCCAGTTCTAGAACCTGCATGAAGCTAACCACCTCCCTCTAACCTGGTACCTTTAGATTACATGAGCTAGGCTAACAATGAAACTCACACCTTCCCTCCCACACACACCAGGTGCTCTCAGTGGCCATTTTGAGTAGTTTCTTTGTTTACTGACATCTTGTGTAGTCTTCTTTGCTCAGGTCATGTGGTCACAGTGACCACTTTGAATCAGCCATCTTGCCTTTGTTTGTGTCCCCACAGACACACACACATACACACACCTGTATATACTAGATTAGACATTGTGTTTTACTCTGCTCCATTGTAAATAAATGTCTTTAACTATAACTACTGGTGTGTTTAACATTGCAAGAGCATGAATATTGCCAACCTCTACTTTGTAGAATTCCAATCCTTCAACTTTAACTTACTGTTGATATGGTAATTTGGTTATAGCTAATAAACTCTAATTGTTAATCAGAGTTCCAGATTAATGGTAATAAATTGAGACTGAAACCATATTGGCTATTTTGCCTATTGGTTTAGGCTGGTGCCCCGAGGATTTTAATTAATTTAAAGTTATTATTTAATATTAATATTTTTCTTAATTTAT